TAGAGTAAATGCCTAGAGATGTGTTTGAATTTTAGAATCACTTTAGTGAATGTTCTTTGTGTGTGTGTGTGTGTGTGTGTGTGTGTGTGTGTGTGTGAATGTTCTTCATTAACTTTGAAACAGATGACTAGTGAGGATTGCAGGATGTCTAAATGTAATCCAAAAGAGAAAGTAAATAAGCACTGGGAAATCCATACTGTCCTTCCCCTCCGCATTGGTACCAGGGGTTGAACCTAAGRACGTTTAATCACTGAGCCACATCCCCAGCCCTTTTTAATATTTTTATTTAGGGACAGGGTCTTGCTGACTTGTTTAGGGCCTTGCTAAGTTGCTGAGGCTAGCTTTGCATTCACAATCCTCCTGCCTTAGCCTCCTGAAGTCTCTGGGATTACAAGTATGTGCCACCAAGCTCCGCCTATACTGTCCTTATAAACAAGCATTCTCCCTTCTGTCTTTGTAAGCACATCTAGATGAACAAAGGGTTTTACAGATGGATGTGTATGTTTCATTGGCTCGTGGGAATGCCACACTTAGATCAGCCTCAAGGAAAGACACACATGTTTTGAGTCTATAAAGTGAATAAGCAGTATTAAGACTAAGATTTTTTTCCACTGATAGCCTCACTCTCTATCATATCAGACACTACATTTTCCATGCATCCTTCTATAGATCCTTCATGAAGAATCTGGCCTTCACCCTCAGACAGATCTGAAATTGAATACCAGTTTCACTACTTATGAGCTGARTCCGCTTTCCCACCATTAGCCATTTAAAAGTGGGTTGATGAATCTATTCTCAAAGCTGCTACAAGGACTGCATGCCTGCCACTGTCTTGAGGCTTAATAATTTTTTTGTTATTATTGTGTTCATGGCTTAGGTGTAAGGTTTAATATAGAAACTTCCAACTATGCATAAAAGTAGAGAGAATATCTTATTGGATTTCAAAGCACCCCAACTTTAATGACAATCATYCACTCCTGTTTTGTCTCTTCTGCCACCCACTCCCATGTTCCCTAAATTATTTGGAAAAAAAATCACAGATATTAGGCGTTTCATCTATGAATATTACAATATGTACCTCTAAAGGATAAGGACTCTTAAAAAATAACCATGACATCATTATCAACACTTATAAATCCCTGAATATCATCAAACATCCAGTTAAGAATTCAAATTTCTCTAATAGCCACATAGGGTTTTAAAAAAACTTTTGTGTTAAATCAGAATTCAAATAAGGTCCATACCCTTTGATATATTTTTTGGAAGAATAATTAAGGTGTGGGAAGAGATTTTTCTGTAAGGATGTTTATTGCAGAATAGAGAAAAATAAAAAGAATCACAAGGAGCAGGGTATGGGTTCCACAAAAGGACACATTCACCTAAAAAGGAATGCTATGTGGCAATTTTAAATAACTCTAGAAAGACCATAAGATGAACAGAGAAGGTATTGGCAAATGCAAAAAGCAGTTTTCACAACAGTATTTATTCTTTCCTTCCATTTTTAATACACTATACATTGTATTACATGCATATTTCTGAATGATGAGAGAATGAGTGATTTTAATTCCCTCAATTTTTACAATGAAAAGTTCTCCTCTTTTTACAATGACCATGACCTGTGTAAGAAAAAGATATTATTAAACCAGGCACAACATGGTGGCACATATCTGTAATYCCAGCAGCTCAGGAAGCTGAGGCAGGAGGATCGCAAATTCAAAGCCAGACTAGTAAGGCCATAAGCAACTCAGCAAGACCCTGTCTCTAAATAAAAACATTAAAAAGGGCTGGGGGGCTGGGGATGTGGCTCAAGCGGTAGCGCGCTCACTTGGCATGCGTGCGTCCCGGGTTCGATCCTCAGCACCACATGCAAACAAAGATGTGTCCGCCGAAAACTAAAAAATAAATATTAAAAAAATTCTCTCTCTCTCTCTTTAAAAAAAAAAAAAAAAAATCCCTCCATGACTCTGACCTCATTCCTTCTATAAAGTTAATACATCTTATTAAAAAAAARGGGGGGGGGGCTAGGGATATGGCTCAGTGGTTAAGCAACAACCCTGGGTTCAATCCCTTGTTTTAAAAAAAAAGTTATTAAAAATGCAGCCAAAGTGTGTCTTTGTTTGGTTTCCTATGGAGCTAGTTATACTTGGCACACTGAGCCCTGTTCTTACCTGGTGTTTTCTCTCCTACTCTGTACAGAAATCCTCTGAGGCAAGGAGAGGCACAGCCCCAAGAGCTGCACCCTCACCTGACTTGACTGTCTGTGCCAGAGCATAGCTTCACAAAGGGGCATTCAGACAGCTGCCATTCATCCCTGGGACACATGATCTCATGCCGTCTCCAAGCGCCATCCTGGGAACACAGAAGGCCTAGGAAGACAAGTACTGGGACTTGTCTTCCATTCATAGAAGGAAAGACCAAGTCACCAAGAACCTGCCTTTTTCTTGCGGTCCCTCAGGTTGAACCCAGGGACAGGTTTTTAGGACAGATGGTTGGTGCTGWTCGTAACCAGGAGGTGACATTTTGCATCTCGTCTGAGTTTCGACATCAGCGTAGGTGTGTGAGGGGCAGGACCTTGTCATGTTTGGCCAAGGGAGTGCTGAATCCTGCTTCAGTGTAACACACTGCACCGCATTCCACGGTCAGGATCTGACTGGACTCGCCAGGTTCTCACACCCACTGAAGGCTRCATGGGCCTCTGCTTGTCTTCACATTCTTGTGAACTTTTCACTCTCTGCACTCTCACTTGCTCTGACCATTATCACCATGCAGTCTCCAAGCCCCTTCTCATGAGTGTCCCTTATGCTCAGTTCATGTCTTCTTTTCACTGAGGCCTTCCCCCCTGAGCCCACATGACATCTTTGTCCCCATGCCACACTTTCCCTCCACCCTCCTCCTCTTGCTTCTCCCCTCTTGTTGTGCTCTGCCTGTGTCTGACCACTCTTCTTGCTCTGAATCCTTATCTGTACCTGGAGCACAGTCATCCCTGAATGTCCCGGGGGAATTGGTTCTAGGACCTCCATGGATACCCAAATCCACCCATGCTCCAATCCTTTCTATAAAACAGTGTAGTATGTGCATATAACCTGTGTACATCCCACAGCCTTCGTTTGCTTTAAACCATCTCTTGATGATTTATAATACCTAATACAATGTAACCCATTGTATTAGGTAATGCTATGTAAATAGTTGTTACACTATGTTGTTTAATGACAAGAAAAAGTCTATTCGTGATCAGTACAAATACACTTCGAAAATATTTTCGGTCCTTGATCAAATCTGCAGACAGRGAACCCCACTGATGCCGGCTGTGTGCTTCTTGTCCTCTGATTGCATCATCTAACTGTCCATCCTTCTCCTTTAGGAGACTGTGGGCTACTCGCTGACAGACACCGCCAATAACGATGGGAAAGATAACTTTGACAGGCAACTGGCACTTCCTAGGTGCCAAGCCCAGAGCTAAGTGATTTACATAATGATATCAGCCCATGATGACAATAAACCTGTATAATTATCCCACTTGACAGATGAAGAAATTGAATCTTCAAGAGAGGCTGAGTCACTCACTGGTCCAAGGTCACCCAGCTGGAAAGCAATAGAGCAGAAATTGTCCCCATTTCTGCCTGACTGTGAAGACTGCACTTTTCATCACCGCACAAACTCTTTGCTACTGTTTGCTGCTCAGTTCGAATGTTCTCATCTGTTCTCTTGGTTGCCACCGTGGAGCCCTGTTTCTTGGTGGTGGCAAGACTCCTGCTGATATTACTCTCTCTAGCTGAGGTGCCTGTGGCTTGCCTCCCTCAAGCTGATTAAGAAGAGAGCACTCAAAACTGCAGGTCCTCCCACCCCGACTTCGTGCCTCTGAATTCTTCACTCCTCTACAACTCTGTCCTGATCCTTTCCCTGGGGGACACTTAAGCAGCAGGAGGATTCCTGCACAACCAGGAATCTCCAGGGCTGCAAGTGTATGTTTTTTGGTAGAATTGTAAGAAAATGGAGCCATAGATCAGCGAAAGGTCCCTAGGAGAGGACCCAGACTGAAGACAGGGGTCCCTGCCACCCCCACTCATATGCCCATCTGGACTCTTCCCTTACATAGCCTCCTTCCCCTTCCCCCAATCAGAATCCTCGCTTTGGGGCCCAAGCCCCAGGGATAAGCTCCACCCCTCTCCCAGCATCCTAAAGTTTGGGGGCTGTGTTCAAGTCAGAGATTTCCAAGTAGGGGTGTGTTGGAGGGACTTCCGAGGGCGGCTTGTCCTGGAAGAATGGGGGAAAGGTGGCAGCAGCAGCCGCTGCCTCCAAGGACATCTGTGTCGCTCCCTGGRAGACCCTCTGCCCTCTCCCCCTCCCACCAGCCCCGGCGAGCAGGGACCGAGCTTGCTTATTATCACCTGACGCTGTGCAGCCACTGATCCCATTGGTGGAGCCAGATTCGGTCTGGCTCTTTCGTTCTTTCTCGCCTTCCCTGCCTCTCTCTCCTCCACGCTGCTTTGATTTCGCTCCTGCCTCTCTTTCTGTGCTCGCTCGCTCCCTCGTCTGGGAACAGCGTCTCACCAGGGGCAGCAGGGCTTCGCTGCAGAGCCAGACAGGAGCTGCCTGCGGGGCATGGAAGCAACCTCCTCGGCAGCCGGGAGAGGAGCGCGCGCGCTTGGCTGCCCGTGACCCAGGAGTCCGGCCGCCGGTCCCCTGCCTGGGGAGCTCGTCCACAGAGATCTCTCCCTTCCCTCTCTGCCAGGTCTTGCTCCGCAGAGCCCCGTGAGGCCAGGTGAGTGCCCTTCCTCCCAGACCATCTTGCCGTCTATCTGAAAGGCTGGGAGCTGGCAGCTCCAGGGTCCTGCCACTGTTCGGGATGCCCACCTGGATTGCTGGGCCAACGACCTTGTCCCCTTTCCCCCAGGCTTTTGGCAAAGGACTTAACAGCTGGATCCAGTCTCCGGGGCGACACAGTTAGTTACCCCGTGACCATTCTGCTGCAGTCAGCGATGCCAACAGGGACAGCGGGGTGGGGGAGCTTTCCTTCTGGCATGCTGGTGGCTTCTTTGAATAGGCATGGGGAAGGGGCACCAGTGTGTGCCAACATGTGTGCGCACTTGGGAGGAGGATGGAGGTTTGCTTGCGTAGATAGGTCTGCGCGTAGTTTGCTCGCGTGGGGGTTTCCACCAGCTTGTGGCATGTCTAGGAACCCAGCTTTCTTGCACGCGTGAGGTACATGTGTGTGGGGGGGCTTATCTGAGTATCCTGTGGGTATATGTGGGTGAGGGCCCTGTGAGGCAGTGTATTTAGGGGGTGGACATGTCACTTGTCATGTGGGTGGAAGTACATGGGGGGGGGCGTATGCAACCAGGCGGTTTCTATGTGGGGAAGTGCAACTCCAAAGCAGAATGAGGTGGGTAGGTGGAAAGTGTGGGCAGAAACTGTGGTCTGTGGGAAGACCTGCGTAGGTGCACAAACCTGTTGGCGTGTGAGGGATCAGACTGGCAAAGTGTGATCAGAGGCAAAATATGCTTTCAAAGTCTGTGTCTATGAGATTCCAGAAGGATACCAGAATGGGGGGGGGGATTGGACGTGGGTGCAAAAGTACATGCGTACAGGCATGCAGGCAGGCATGAGGATTGCATGCCTTCTTGGGGAGGTGGCACACATGCATGTTGGTGCCGGCAGCTTCCTCTCTTCCCCAAATATGGCTGTGAAGAGGGGTGCATGCTTGTGGGGGTGCAGGAGCCTGTGGACAAATCCTGTGTGGGACTGCAGGAAGGTGACAGTTTTCGGAGGGGGCATCTTAGAGGGTGCAAGGTGGCGCAAGGTGTCTCAGTACATAGGTGAGCCTGTGGGAATGAGGAGGACTGAAGAGGTGTGTTCAGGGGTGGGTGGGCACCCTTGGCACATGTGTGCGTGCGTGCATGAGCGCCGCCTGTGTGTGGGTGTGTACATGCTGGCCTCAGGGTGGATTCACATGGGAGAGTGGGTGTTTCTAGGGTGTTGCCACGACCTGTCGCTCACACCCTGCCTTTCCCCAAGCAGCTGGGCATAGAGAGGCTGGGTTCACGCCCACCTTGGGCCACCCTAGCTGTGTGTTCTCCCAGTGTCAGTCATTGCCACTCTTGCAGGTCAGGGCGGGGGAGTCATCCCAGCTCTCCCAAAACTGGAGAGAGCAAGGGATGAGCAGCTGCCAGGTCCTGGGCCCTGAGCCCCCACGGCTGCCCCTACCTCTAGGAAGAGTCTGAGGGGAGGAGAGATCAAGCARGAGCAGGGGCCCACTCATGGAGCAGGTGTAGGCTGCTTCCCTTGCCAGGGGGAGCCACTCAGGGCTTCTCAGGTGGGAGTGTGTCTGTGCTCCTGTGTGTGGGTGCCTGTGTGTGTGCATGTGAGAGGCACACACGTGTCTCCTTGGGAGCTTCCAGCTTGGATGTGGGGAGCTGGTAACTCCCCTCTGCGCCACACCTGTCCCCACAACTGCAAACAGGTTTATTATTGTGGGGTTCTTTCCAGACACCCGATCCCATCTGTTCTATTTTGGGGCGAACCTGGCATCACTTCCATGCGTATTTACCATATAATTCCCTTTATGTGAAGCCATTGGCATTTTCCTCTAAGGTGGGAGACTAAGATGAAGCAGGACAAGGGACACCTGGGGCAGGTAAGGGCCATCAACCCCAGCCTCTTTCTATACCTGTCACCCAGGCAGCCCACAGGTTAATTTAGAGGTGCCAGGCTCTGGAACAGGCTTAATTGATGGGAAAGTGTGGGCTGGATCTTCTGTAGGCTATAAATAAAAGTACCTGAATTTTGCAGGCACAAGGTGCTTTCACCCTAGCTCCTAGGCAAGGGGAGAAGAAGAAGAGGGAAGAGAGGAGAGGAGGAGGTGGCATGAGGGTGTGCTGGATGAGGGTGTGCTGGATGCTGGGCTGGAAAGTGTGAGGCTGGATGCTCTGGAGAAAGTCCACCCACATCTGCATCCTCTCCTCCCCGCCTGTTTCTGGGATTCCAGGTGAGTCAGGCCATAGACAAAGCCAGTCAGCTCTTCTCAGTTAAAGCACAGGTGAGAGACCCTGGTATAGTCCTTTCATGCCCGAAGGGCGCCAGATGTCAGGGTAGAACTGGAGGAGTAAAAGAGGGAGGTGAGAGAAAATGCAATGCTTGGAAAAAAGTCAACAAGAGGAAAAATAAAGAGCAAAAACATTTGTGCCCTGTGCATGGCCATATGTCATACACATGCCATGTGTCACACACATGTGATGTATGTGTGCACACACACACACACACACACACACGGATGCAACTCTAGCTCAACCTTAATGATAAAGGGTTTGGCCTCCAGAGTGCAAATCATCTGCTGGCTGTGTGGCCTGGGATGCTAGCACCCCAACCTTAGTTACCTTGTCTGTAAAATGGGGATAATCACAGCACGTACCTATTGCAAGGCTCACATGAGATGACGTTTGTGAAATGTCGTACCTGTCGGCCCCCAATAGACATCAGTGTTGAAACATAATTAATTATTCAAGGAGTCAAGTGAGGATCAGCCAAAAGAGAGTGTCAAAAAAGTCATGGGTGGAAAGAAGAGCTTGAAGCAGGCAGTGATCCATGCTGCCCCTTCCACCCTGGGTGGATCCACACGCACCTGAGTGTGGATCAGGCCTGCACTGTGGGGGCCCTCACTGAGTTGTCCCCAGGGAGGAGAGAGGCCTGAGCCGCAGGGTCTTGGCCTCTGAGGATTCCTGGCTGCCGGGCCTGCTACCAGCCTCTGTCCTCTCCTCTCTGTCCCCTCAGCAGGTGCTTCCTGCCTCTCCTCCGCTGCCTCTTTCCCATTCTCTCCACCCCCACCCTTTCTCTTTTCACGCCTGCTGGCTTGGGGCCCCCTCCCTCCTCGGCTCCATCTGCTATAAATCTGTCCCTGCCCAGCGTTGTAGATTCCCACTGCCTCTGCCACCTGTCAGGTACCTTCTGCTCCACAGACCCTCAGAGGAGAGCACAGAGCCCCCCAGAGACATCCAGCCCACCTTGAGTCCCTGCCCTCCAGGCCTCCCATGCAATCTTTCCTATCAGATCTATGGGGCAGGGGCATTCGATGTATTCTCAGGCTCCACTTCCCAAGGGATGTTGGGAGCAGCGCATTCCAGAAAGCTCCGTGGTGGGAAGGAGGTGCTGATCCTTCCCCTTGCTCTCAGTCCCCACAGGACCCAAACCAGAGGGCAGCATGGAGCTGCTGTCCACTCCCCACAGCATTGAGATCAACAACATCACCTGCGACTCCTTCCGCATCTCCTGGGCCATGGAGGACAGTGACCTGGAGAGGGTCACCCATTACTTCATTGACCTCAACAAGAAGGAGAATAAGAACTCCAACAAGTTCAAGCACAGGGTGAGTCGAGGGTGCCCAGGGGTGCTTTTCCCCACCTCTGTTCCTGAAGGAGGCAGGATAATAGGTAGCATCAAGAAAGGGGTCGGAGTCCAACCGAAATCCAAAGTCTTCCTGGGTCATCTTGGGAAAGTGATTTGACCTCTCTGAGCCCGAGTTCCTCTCCTGGTGAAGAGGGAATCATCACACCCCGCCTCCCAGGGTTGTCGAGAGGATTCCATGAGTAATGTCTACGTGGTGTTTGGCACGATGCCTGGCACAGCGTGAATGCTGTTATCAGCGTCATGACTGGGACTTCAGACGGGCAGAGCACCCCGGGCTGGTGGGATGGGGCCGAGAACATCACATGTGGGGATGACATCTCAGGTTCCAACAAACCCTGGGCTCAGGTGCGGCCCTGCTGTTGACTAGGTGAGCGGTGGGACCCTCAGTAGGTCCCCTTTTGCCGGGTCCTTGATGTTCCCTTAGGCCCCTGTCATTTTCTCTGTCCCTCACCTGCCCGCTGCCCAGCTGTTTACTTGGTCTAGTAAAGGACTGGGAGAGGGTCCTGGAGGGTGTGTCCTTTGCTTGGGTTAAAAGCCCGTATGGGGTGGGTGGGAGGAGGCCTCGCGTCTCCTCCAGCTGGCAGAGGGGCAGGGGAGAGTGAGGTGGGAAGAAGCTGGCTCTCAGGACGACAGCAGCAGTGTGGGCTACTCACCCTCGCTCTCTCTCTCTCTCTCTCTCTCTGGAACTGGCTCTCCTGATCTGGGTGTCTTTTGGCAGGCCAGTTGCCACGGTGATGTGAATGTTCAATACCACCCCCTTAACCCTCCCCCCCAAAGAATAAGGCATATTTTCCCTTCCTCCCTGGCTTCTCAGCATTTGCCGTTGCCGTGGAGACAGCACTGCAGTGTGCAGAGAGCTCTCGAAGTCTCCCTCAAAAATGAAGGTCTTGCCGCCTTCAACTTTGAGGCCTTCTCCTGAGTGGCCTTCTCCCTCGGTCCCCAAGAGAACGGGGCACCAGGGGGGTGTAAGGAGAGGTAGAGACCTGGAGAGCCTGTGTGGTTCTGCTTGCTTCTGCAGGAAAATGGCAGCCGGGACATGGAGCCCCTGGGTCCCCGAGAAGGGCCYTCCCCAGGAGGAAGAGGAGGCCCTCTCGGGAGTAGGATTCTGGGAGAATGTCAAGATGGGGTGTGGCCCTCAGGTTGACCCTTGGCTCTCCATCTGTATCGCCCTTCTCAGGACGTCCCCACCAAGCTCGTGGCCAAGGCGGTGCCACTGCCCATGACAGTGAGAGGCCACTGGTTTCTGAGCCCCCGCACAGAATACAGCGTGGCSGTGCAGACGGCGGTGAAGCAGAGCGATGGGGAGTACCTGGTGTCCGGCTGGAGCGAGACGGTGGAGTTCTGTACAGGGGGTGAGGCTGTGCGGTCACATCACTGCCCTGCTTCCTTGGCACATCTGGCTCAGTGGTGGTCAGGAGGGGGGTCTTCATCCAGAAAACACTTGCAAATGCCTGCTGTGCCCTGGGCACTAGGCTGCAGGGTCCTCCCCTGCCCTTACAGAGCCTGYCTTTTCTCTAATGAGAGACAGGCGTCCCCACATTCCTGTAGGCAATGCCACCTCCGTAAAGGGATGGAATTACTTTTCTGGCTTGAACGCAGCCTTGTTTAAAAAAAAAAAATCATAAAACACACATAGCAGAAAGTCTGCCATCTTAACCCTTTTGAAGTGTGCCGTGCAATCGTGTCAAGTATATCCCATGTTGTGCAAGCCTTCTCCAGAAGCTTTCCATCTTGCAAAACCGAAACTCTACAGCCATTAAACAGTCACTCCCCATTCCCCTCCCGCAGCCCTGGCAACCACCATTCTCCATTCTCCATTCTCCCGCTATGGTGTTTGACTCCTCTAGGTGCCCCAGATAAGTGGAATCATCCAGGATTTTTTCACCTGAGACTGGCTTGTTTCTCTTAGTGGGATCTTCTCTAGGTACACAGAAGCTGTAGGGTGTCATCGCTTGCTTCTTCCTTAAGGCTGGTTGAYGTTCCATTGCATGGATAGACCACATTTTGTTTATCAATGATCCATCAATGGTCACTTAGTGGGACAATCACATTTTTCTTTTTCTGAATTTCCCCTAAGCCTATTAAAATGGTCCCTGCAAGCTCTCTTAGTAGAGCCTACCTTGCATATTCCAGCATAAACCAACTCTGGGCTTGTGTGTGCTTGGCCACCCATGACCCAAGATCTGCCCTAAAATATTTCATCCCTTTGGTGCCCATGTGAGAACTGCTCCAGATTGCACTCCTATCACAAGGAAGGGTCAGGGAACATTCTCTGCCCTGGGGCCTCCAAGGCTGCTGGCTCCATCCTCTGCCAAGGTCTATGCCCCAAGTCTCCTTGAGCCACTGCAAACCTACTCTAGGGAGGTGCTCCTTCTCAGAAATGCACATGCATGGGCATTTGGTTCAAACTGGGGAGGTGGAGATGGCTGCAGTCCAGTCCACCTTTCTCTTGCCAATCAAGTGCCCTGACCAGTAATGCATCAGCAATGAGGAAAGGGCACCTTTTTCTAATTAGTACCAAGACACTGTCCAGCCTGGCAGCAGCCTGACTGTGCCCCAGAGCCCCAGGCCCAAACCCAAGATTCAATTATCCTCTCCTGGTGCCAGCTCCTGATTCTCCTGAAAGACTCAAGCAGACAGCCAGTGTCCTCGCCTCTGCTCTGCCTAAACATTCTGTTTATGGAGCCTGGGCTTACTTTTCCAATTCTTCATGCCCACCTGTCATCATAATGGCTTTCACATGGGTGGTGGAGATAGCCTCTCGCCCACCTGCTGGATTTGGGGGGCCCTGCACAAGGGACCTTGCCTTCCTCCCTCTTTTGCCTGTTGGTCCTCCTTTCACGTGGGCATGGCCTGGGATGAAAGCCCCTGAGGCCCCTAGCATGATAACAGGGCATCCTGCCTTTTCTGGGCTGAGGGAACCCTGAGCCTCTGGTAGCGAGGACACAGAGGTGACAAGGATAGACAGCATGCAGCTCTCCACACTCCCAGTTGCAGCCAGCTGGCTTGTTCCCATCTGAGTCCAAGCTGCTGCTGGGGCCTGTCTAGTCCCCTTGCTGCTCCAGGAGATAGAGGTTGACTGGTGAGCATGCTGGGGGTTGGGCCAGAGTGGAGGGAGACGAAGAGGCGGTGACCCTGCAGCTGGCCCTCGGCTCACCTCGCCCAACCCGGACTGTTGCAGATTATGCCAAGGAGCACCTGGCCCAGCTGCAGGAGAAGGCTGAGCAGATCGCTGGCCGTATGCTCCGCTTTTCTGTCTTCTACCGCAATCATCACAAGGAGTACTTCCAGCATGCCAGGTAGGGTGGCTCTGGCCCCCACAGGCCTCTCCTTCCTCCTCCAGCTCCTCTGCCTGGTGCCCTGACTGTCCAGGTCATCTTAGGCTGCTAGAGCCTCTTCCAGGGCCCCCTGCTCTCATATCACAGAAGTGACTGCTACTTTGGGATTGGATTCAGGGAAGGTCGAGGACTCTGGGACGGGGCCACCTGGCAGAGCACCATGCCAACAAGCCCGGGCAATGAGGTCTGGCTTTGATTTCCACTCTGGGACAGTTCCTTCAYTGGGGTCTACCACCATAGGTCACCATAGGTCTATCAATTCAGGGCCTGGGATCACAGAGGAGGTGACGAGGACGATGCAAAATGAAAGAGACCTGAGCATGGAGGGCTCTGGGGAGAGTCCAGCTGGCTGGTTAAGCTGGGTGCTAAGGAGTCAGGGAAGCTCCTTGGGAAATCCTAGGGTGCTGCTGAGGGGCTGGTTATGGGGAATCAGGAGGTGGGGCTTAGTAGGCCCTAAACCTGTTGTCCAGCAGAGCAGCCTCAATTTTATRTGCCTATGACCCATCTATGTATACTTTTCTTTGGGGAAAAAAAAGAGGGGTTCTGTAGTCCAAAAGTGTTTGAAAATTGATGGTCCAATCCAACACCCTCAATGTACAGATGAAGAGCCTGAGGCCAAGGGGGGCCTCAGTTGGCCAGTTGAGCCAGAAAGTCACTTGTCCCTCAGGGCAGCCAGGACCGAGTGAGAGAGTGGTGGGACAGGACTAGTCTACCTTCCCCCATGTCTGAGCACACTGCTCCAAGTCTATGTCCTTCTAAGCTAGGAGGGGGTAAATTTCCACCATGACTGTCTTTATCCTTATAGGCAGCTAGGGTAGGTGTTTGGACCCTACCCAGTGCAATGGGGACCTTGGGGCCTTTGTTATTTGTATTAAAAAGAGAGGCCGTGGACTGGTTTGGATTCCTTTACCAGCCAGGAAGAGACAGGGAGCACCCCTGTGTGCCAGGCTCTTACGAGGAGCCTGGATATAAAGACTAAGGCACAAGCCATCCTTTTAAAAACCTCAGAGTCTGGTCTGAGGAATAGAATAGAAGGATTTAATGTCATAAGTATGGGTGATCATTGAGCGAAAGTCAGTGTCGAGCATACTAGGTAGCCAAATCTTGATTGAATTGCAAGTACCTCATGTTTCTGGAAGTTTCAGAGGAGAGGGAACCCCTATGCTGGTCCTTGGAGGATGATTAGGAATTGCYAAGCCAGGTGGAGGAAGATGGGAAGGGCAGCCAGGCAGAGGGAACAGCCCTGCAGAGGTACAGAAGGAAGAGAGCCCATGGCTGGGGGTGCTACCTGTGGGGGTGGGGTGTTGCCAGGTACCAGAGGCAGCAATGAGTCCAGAAAGACCAGTTCTTGAGGGGCCTTGCTAATCTCAATCAAGCCCCTTTGAAGGGTTTTCAGCTGGGAAGAAGCAGGCTGCATGAGCTAATCTCCAGAGCCCTCCTGTGCTTGCATTCTGGAATGTTCCATTTGTGACTGGTGGAAGCTGTTGGCTGTGGGGAGCTTTGGGAGCCAGCAGCCAAGCCTCATCGCAGCTAACCGGTGGCATTGTCTCTCCCCTTTGATGCTTGTCCTGGGTGGGCAGGACCCACTGCGGTAACATGCTGCAGCCCTACCTGAAGGACAACAGCGGCAGCCACGGCTCGCCCACCAGCGGCATGCTGCACGGGGTCTTCTTCAGCTGCAACACCGAGTTCAACACCGGCCAGCCCCCCCAGGACTCCCCCTATGGCCGCTGGCGCTTCCAGATCCCCGCCCAGCGCCTCTTCAACCCCAGCACCAACCTCTACTTTGCGGACTTCTACTGTATGTACACAGCCTACCACTACGCCATACTGGTGCTGGCACCCAAGGGCTCCCTGGGGGACCGCTTCTGCCGCGACCGCCTGCCCCTCTTGGACATTGCCTGCAACAAGTTCCTGACCTGCAGCGTGGAGGAYGGGGAGCTGGTCTTCCGTCACGCCCAGGACCTCATCCTGGAGATCATCTACACCGAGCCTGTTGACCTGTCCCTGGGTACCCTGGGGGAGATCAGCGGGCACCAGCTCATGAGTCTGTCCACTGCCGACGCCAAGAAAGACCCCAGCTGTAAGACCTGCAACATCAGTGTGGGCCGCTAGGGACTCCCGGGGGGCTGAGGGGCTGGGGAGAGATGACGGGAGGGTGGAGGTGGGTGGCACAGGCTCAGGGAGCTGGCTTTCTCTCCCTGCCCCCCTGCTCCCTCGGCTCCATCCACTAGCCCCTCCCCCACCCCTTGGCATTGGAGGCAACGATGGTGGTCCTCTGGGTAAGCGTGGCCCACCCCAGGCCTGGTGTTCTCCTCGGGAAGGCTTCTCAGCCTCGGGAGGCCAGTGGGTGGTTTGGATTTCTGGAGAACTCCCCCTTTGCTCCCCCCATTCTGGCTCTTTGCCTTATCCAGGCCTCCACCTCCCAGGGTCCTGCCCGCTTCCTAGGCTCTCCTGGGGAAGCATCTCTGGGGAAGCAAGCCCATGTGTAGCTTGGCCGCCTCCAGGGAGATGCAGAGAGCTGTGGGGCGCCTCCTTCTTAGCCCCCCCACTCAGGGCCACCCCAGAAAGCCCCCTCCTTACTGAACTGGGCCTGGGGGCTTACCGTCCAGGCCAGCCCCCTCCCTCCTTCCTATAAGTAGCCRCCTGCACCGCTGTCACACCCTAGCTGCTCCTTGCCCCAAATAGCCCTCTTCCTGCATGGGAGAGCTGTCCTTCCCCTCCTCCACCTCCCACTCGTATGTCCTCGACGCTCTAGAAAGGGGCCCTCTTTCTTCTCCTGGCTTTGGGGGCTCGGGGCTGTTGGGATTTTCCTTTCTTCTGTGTGGAGATGGCACATTCCCCAGCAAAACTTCTGCCTTGCTCAGAGAACGCTGGGGTCTGGAACAGCAGCTGCCAGGGTCGAGGAGGGGGGAACAGACCCCTGAGACCCTTTTCCCAGCCGGAAGCAGGCTGCCCCATGCCTTAGTGGGGCTTGACATGGGACTGAAGAACTGAAGGTCGCCTGCAGCGCCCTGGCACCCCAGCTGGCTGTGCGCTTCACTCGCTCGCTCTGCCATGGTGCCGTGACTGTCCTGTGCCTGTGTGTGACCCAGGCTGTGGGCCACTCCGCCTCACAAGCCACCTCCTGTCCTGTCTGCTTTCCTGGCCACTTCTCCAGGACGTTGTGGTGAGGGCCCCCCTGGGCTCCCTGCGTTCTCCCCAGTTCCTGCTGTTGTATGGGGCATGGGGGTGGAGAGGTGGACTCCCCATGACAAGCAAAACATTGGAGAAAAGGGGAGGTTCTGGCGGAGACCATGGACAGCAGCCTCAGTGACTCTTGCAGAGGTGACGGGGACATGGATGAACAGCTTGATTTCTGCAATGAAGAACAGAGGGGCCGACAGGCCAACAAGGCCTTACCTCAGTGAGGGGCAGGTGGATGGCCAGCTGCTGGGGAGTGCTGCAGTCAGCTCCCTCCTTGGGGCGGGTCAGGAGCTCTGGGGCCTCTGGGAAATGTGTGGAGAAGGAGAGGACATGGGACCCCAGGCCCTCTCCCCTGTGCTGATGGCATTGCTGTGGGGGTGGCCTGCTGCCCTCCCCTGGCTCCGTGTCCTTCCTGGGCGCCTGTGCTGTGCTTGCGATGTGCATCAATAAACCACCATGGCCACAGGGCCCCGCCTGTCTTCATCCTTAATCCGTTCAGGCTGCCATATAGAAGGACCAGAGACCAGGTGGCTTAGAGACAACAGACATTTTCCTTTCGCACTTCTGGAGACCGAAGAGTCTGAGATCAAGTCACCAGCAGGTTGGGTGCTGGTGAGGGCTGCGCTCTGGGGCACAGACAGCTATCTCCCCACCTTGTCCTGCTGGGGTGGGAGGGGCGAGCAAGCTCTTCAGCCTCTTCTATAAGGGTGCTAATCGTATGCATGCGGCCCCACCCTGAGCCCCACTTCCTGATACCATCACCTGGGGTACCGAGAGCACAGGTGCCTCTCTTGGGCCCTGGGGTGGGTGGGGAGGAGAGGGTGAACTGCACTATCCACAGAGGAGCTCAAATGGGGATGCCCCCCACTCCGCCTACCAGGACAGGCCACTGGAGTTTGTGCCAAGGGTAAACCCAATGCTCCTGTAGGCAGCAGGGTTCAGAATGTATCGCCACATCTCCAGCTTGGAAGGGACCTTGGAGGTCATCTGGGTCCACCCTGTGCTTCCCCAGGGACACTGGGGCCTCTTAGAGGAAGACCTGTGGTCATCTGGGGGCCTCACCAAGGTCCCTGGGCTTTGGGGCCCCCACTGAAGCCCTTGAGGCTGCTGCAGCCTGCCATGCCACTAGATTTCCCTCTCCTGAGAGTAGGGATGTCCCCTCCCCCACCGGCAGGGCTCTGCAGATCTGAGTCACCTCTGCGTCTATTATTATGGACTTATTAAAATGGTCCTGGCTGAGAGGAGCCAATCCAGAAAAGTCAGAGAGGCATTTCACCAACACTGCCTGAGTCAGGGCCAGGTTCACATGTGTCATCGGGCCTTGGACCACAGTCTCTTTGAGATAGGAAGGAAGGCTGAAGGACAGGCAGCTGCTTCCTGAGGCCCAGGGTGGGCTGGCGGGGGGGGCGGGCGCGTCGAACATCAGCCCTGTGAGTCCACACAATGGCCCTGGACAATGCCATTCCTACTTAACAGATGAAGAGACTGAGACTAAGACACAGGAAATTAAAAGGGATGCCTGTGTCGTGCACCGATAGGTCACAGTGCCCAGGATTTGATGCAGAAACCTGAGTCTTCCCATTTTACTGTCCTGGGCCTGCCTCCCTAGTGAATATCAGGAGGCCCCTTGGACAGTAATATGCAGGTGGGGTGGTCTCAGACGCGTGGCCCTCAGGTTCCCTCCACACCTCTGCCAGCTAACCAAGGCTGTGCTAGTTACAGAAAAACTCCAGGGGGTGCTGTGGAGTCACGAATGCTTTGGAGGCTTATTTTTAAAGACACAGTGGGCGGCACTTTAGCCTAGAATTCCAAGGTTGGGGAGAGACTCCAGGGTGCACCCTCCTGCCTCGGGACAGATCTTGGTGCTCAGATTTCTCCAGAGGCTCCGGGTTCAGTCTTCCTTTGGAGAGCCCTTTGGGTTTCTTAGGAAGTGGATAGGCTTCCAGAGTCCTCTTAGTGGGGCACAAGGGCAGCGGGGGGGAGGTGAAAGGCCCCGTGCAGTTTCTTCCAGAAGRCTATTTCCACTTCCTTTGTCCAGATGGCCACTCCCCAGCACAAGGCCAGCCTCCGGCTGCTTGAAGTACCTGTCAGATGGAGCAGGGTCAGGACATCTGTCAGAGTCTGCCCTGGGCTCCGTTCTGACCAGAGGTCTATCTAATCTGACCCATAGAAGGAGGAAGGTCTCTGTGTGAGGTGCTCGCGCGCGCGCGCGCGCGCGCGCGCACACACACACACACACACACACACACACACACACTCCCTTGGCCGGGCTGAGAGGAAACCCAGGAGGCCCCAGAGGGTGCCCACGTGAGGGCTCCCCCTGGACTCTGGCTGTCTCCCATGCAGGCAGTGGGGGACATGCCGTGGCCAGAAAGCAGGTAACAGGTGGGGTGTTCTGCTGAGCAGCACAAACACACGGACACACCCAACAAAAACAYGTGGACGCACACAGGTGCCCCCCAACACACAGCTCCCACGCTCCCCTCTGCCCAGACGTGTGCCCACATCCCTGCTGGCTCTTCCCTCCCAGGCCAGCCTCGCTCCTCTTAGTCCAGGTGGGTGAAAGCCCACGCCTTCCACAAAGCAGCAGGAARGAGGGGGCCAGCTGGAGTCCCTCATGGGAGGTGTCTCTTCTTCCTGGTGGGAAAAGAGGTGGCTGGGGTCTCAAGGAAATGGAGGGACGCCTTCCRGAAGCCCAGCTGAGGTGATCAGCTGTAAAATGGCGTGGCTGCAGCATCTGGAGGAGATTGGAACCAGATGTCCTGGTGGGGGAGGGGAGGTGTGGGGCAGCAGCAGCAGCTCTGGTTGGCAGGAGTCTGGGTCGGGGGTCTTGGGGGTCTCTGGGGAGAACATCTGGCTGCCYTCTTCCCCAGCACCCCGAGTCCATCACGTGTATTTTTTGCAAACTGGAGCAGCAAAGCTTTTCAAGGATTCTAGAATCAGCCTCGTTCGCAGGGACAGTCAAGTACAGGGTGTGACACCCGAGGTGCCCAAAAAGGCTACCAGCTGGCCAGAAATCTGTCCCTGCTGCCCCACAAGCCCCTCCTTGCTGTGGGTGAAGCATTGCCCCCCTGGCAGGAGTAGCCATGCACTGAGCCCCAAGGCCAGTGTGTCCAGAGAGTTCCTCTAACCTAGGAGAACTGTAGCCCTGAAATGAGAAAGCTCTCAGAGAGGAAAGGAAAGTAGGTTCACTTAGGAGGAGTCTGCTGTTTGTCAGGTGCAGCGACAGTTTTCTCTTCAAAGTTCCATCCTCATAACTGTGTCAAGTGTTATTATCATCCCAGGTTTACAGGTGAAAAAAAACAGGCTGTGATAAGTTAAGTGACATATTCAAGGTCACACAGCCATCCAGTGTAGAGCTAGGATTCACAGTGRGCTATGTTTGCTCTCATGCTTGGGACCTTTTTACTCCTGAGAGGTAGGTGGGTGGGTGGCGGCAGAAATGAACAGCACTAGGGAGTGAGGAGTAAGCTCCCAACTTTCCTGATTTGACAGTCAAGCCAGGGGTGGGCCCTGGAAGCCTGGACGCCTCTCCCAAGGGTACTAGCCACTTCGACAACCTGGACCCCTACATTCTAGCTGTGTTGGAGCCTAGACATTGGGGTTTCTCTTCCGCCTCTGACTATGGCAGGAAGCGCACTGGGATTGGCTACAGGTTTAGGGAGAAGAGGCCTAGGGAGGGGGGCACCTGGCCAGTGTCACAGAGCTAAGTGCAGCAGAGCCAGGTCTCCCGACTGCCCATCTGGGCTGTCCTCTGTGCCAAGGGCTAGAGAGGTGGTCCTAGAGAGAGGAGTCTGGGAGCTCTGGGCGTGCTTATCTCTGTCTGGTTTAAGGCCAGGAGTCAGAGTYGGGGCAGCTCCAGCATGGCTCTTCCACAGCTAGTTATGCACTGGGGACAGCGGGACCCCAGGGAGACAGGGGCTGGGGAATGGTTGGGGTGGTCACTGAATCTCCCTTAACCTTGGCTCTCCCAAGCTGCACTGCGGTTGGCCTCGTCCAGAGCCCTGACGCAGCCAGGAGGTAARGGTAGGCTGACTCTGGAGAGCTCGATACTTTCCTGAATTCTGTAGGGTCTCCCGGCCTGCAGCCTCCCGAATGGCTCCCAACGCCCGAGGAGAGCTCTGTTCCACACCTGCTTCCTCCCTGCCCTCCTCTCCTCCTCCCTCCATCAAAGACTGCCCATCCCTGATTACATGTGGARTGGACATCTGACCATCCAGACGGGCCTGTCCCCCTGCTTCTTGGTTGACTGTGAYAGAGRACCTTAAACTGCTGTTAAGGACCTWCTYAGTGGCCTTCAAGATTTGGGGCCACTATTGGGGTGGTTTTGGACCCACGCTGCAGTTCAGGACCTCTACATAAGCCCCCCKCAGAGCTTCTGTTTGGCGTGGGTCTCCCGGATGCTCTGCACCTTTTACTACTGGTACTGAACCTCCCCCACTGGGCCCGCCCTGGACCTGGGGTGCTGTAACCACTGGCTGCCTCTGAAGGTGGGCCTAGTGAGGGCCAGGAGGCTCATTCCTGAGAAGCCTGAGTCTGCTTGGGTGCTGGAGTCTTGGACATAAGCCTGGCGAGGCTATGTGGGTTCATAAGGAGCCTGATTGCGGTAGGGGGCTGGGTCCATCTCTGTGGACTGCAGCCCCGCTGTCAGGACAGGGTTATGATCTTGGCTCCTTTGGGCATATGGCTTTTGAGCAGGGACTGTGGCCAATGACTGTAAGTTCTGTTAAGGAGCAGCCAGTGCCAAGCTGGTGGACAGTTTCTGGGTAGCACGGCCAGGAGGCTCCCACTGCCGAGGGCTTCTATCCTGGTCATGGTCCTCCAGGCTGTCCTGAACAACCCTATCAGAGAAGGGAGCAAGAAGTGGCTGTGACATCGTCACTGGGACTTCACTGCTGCTGTAATGAGCAGTACCCTTCTGGGCCTCTCCCTCCCCTTTGCAGGGCTGCAAGATCCTACCTGAGGCCAGGCAGGGAGGAGAGGGTCCCAGACTGGCTGGCTTCCGGGAAGATGAGGCAGTGGGTGTACCTTCGGCTTCCCACCACTGCTTCCTACTTAAAGGGCCAACACGGGGTCTACTGTGCTGCACTGCTCCCTGGTGGGGGTGATCCCCAGAGTCTAGACACATCTGGCACAGCATCTGCCCCTGTGACAAGGAGGAGCCTCAGGGTAGTGTGAGATTCACCATCCACTGAAGGCTCTCTGGGAGCCTGGGCTGGACAGGCTGTCTGACGCTCTCCAGAGTCTAAACGTGGCCAGCCCAGGCAGAAGAGCAGGTTCCCTCTGTCCTCTTTCTGCTTTATTTCCCTGAGAGCAGGGAGAGAAGGGGAAGGAGAGCCCCCTTGGAAGGGAGGGAGCAGGGCTGTGGATTCTCTCCTGGCCTCTGGGAGGCATAGGTCTGGGCCTCACAGCTGGCTGGAGAGAGGGCAATGGCAGGAAGGAGGGGCTGGATGGAGRCTGCAGCCTTGGGGGAGAGAGGGGCTGGAATGTTTGCTCAGTGGCTGCCTAGCAAGTGTCTCCACAGGGGAGGCCTGCGAGGCCAGGAGGCTAGTGCTGGCCCCATCCCAGCTGATGCAGGTTTCCTGGCTCCCAGTGGGCTCCTCTGGTCAGCCGCCCTCACAGCCCTTCATTCCCCAGAAAGGAAAGCCAGATGGACAGACACACCCCAAACCTTTCTATGTACCTCCTCCCTCCACGCAGACAGCCTCTTTATAGAACGTTCTACCCTCCTGTTGTGTGGGAGGGCCAGGAACAGTGTGTGTGCGTGCCTGCAGCCTGCAGTTTATAGGCATGTGTGTGTGCGCGTGCGCTCCTATGCCCAAGTGTGAAATCTCACCCTCACAGGAGGGAAGGAGAGCCAGCAAAGCCAGGTGTCCTGGCCACACGCCGGCCTCGGACACCCAGCGAGCCTGCACATCTGGAAGGAGACCCCCCACCCCCACGTCCCAGACAGCATCTGGCACAGGGAATTGGCTGTAACACTTTCAGTTTATTGGCTGGGGGGCCGGTGTGGCCGACCAGCCAGCGGGCCTGAGAAGCCCTGCCTTGTTTCTCCACTCTCCTGGCCACCGCCCCACTGTGGCTCCTARGGGACATGCACAGACACTCATGCCCCAGGAACCGAGGAAGTGGGGGTCAAAATAAAACCAAATCAAGGCTGAAGAGGGGTGGGAAAGGTACACTGGCTATACACAATACAGCACGTGGAGATGGCAGGAAGGTGGCAGTGTTCTGCTGACAGGCCCTCTTGCCACCAGGTGGGGGCCCCAGAGAGAAATGGTTACTTCAAGTGTCTCGGTGGAAGCGCTGGCTCCCTGGCCCTGGCCCCTCACTCTGGCGGGGCACGTGGTGGGGAAGCGGCTTACAAAGCAGTCCAAGTCCCCCACCTCCGGAGGGCAGCCTCTCCTGGCCTGTGGGCTCTGCAGGTCCTGGGGCCTGAGGGTGAGGCATGAGGTGTCACTTTTGCCCACCACCCCCACTGTCCAGTCCAGGTGACCAAGGGAAGCAGGWCTGCCGTCCCCGCCCCGGGCAAGGGCGGTGGTCACTTCCTGCTGTGGAGTGTGTCCTGGAACTTGGTGCTGGTGTACCGCAGGTGGAAGCCTTTCTTGGTGATGGTGTCATCGGAGTGGAATTTCACCAGGACAGAATCTCCGGCTGAATACACCTCCTCCGGAGGCTGGTGGAGAAAGGGACAGGCGTGGAGCACGAGGRGGAGGAGGGGGACCCGGCTGCTCTCTTCCCTCCAGGAGACCCCAAACTCCCCCAGCCCCTGAAACAGTATCATGCTAGTGGCAGTCTAATGGGACACCTGGAGRGGGCAGACTGTCTTCGGTTCAGAGGCTGCTTCCATTTTAAACTCGGTTCTGTCACTAACTCGTGGGTAGTGCAGGCCTGAAGCCACCTCTCTTCTCTGGGCCTCAAGTCCCTGGACGGCACAGAGGAGCGAAAGCTCTAGCTCTCCGAGCATAGATGGGCCTAGGGGTGGCCAGGCGAGAGGAGGAGTGTGGAGACATGCAGTGGTGGGACGTAGCATGGGGCCACCTTCTTGCAGTCCCTGTGGACTCAGAGAAGGTGGGGCAGCACTTTTCTGCTGCGAGGACATGGAGGAAGCAGTGGGGACAGACGCAGTCTCTCCCKGACCTGGACTCTGTCACACCTGGTCTGGCAGTGGTCTGTGCCAGGTGATACCCTTCCTGGGTGGCTCCATGGCTACAGCAATGCTCTGGCCCTCGAGCTGGAGAAATCATTCCTGAGTGTCTTGGGATATTTCCAGGACTGTGCCACAGAGCCCTGCAAGGGTTCCTTCCCAGGACCCCCTCCCCTGAGCCCCACCCTGGGAGAGGTCTCTGGAAGACGCTCCCTGGAGACACCCCATTTGATGTGTGACTCAGAAGAGGAAGGGGCAAAGCAGAGAGGGGCCCGAGCTAGTTAGCCAGCAGATGCCAGTGTAGCTGGGTGGGCGGGCTGGGGGTGGACACGGCTTCCCGCRGCTGTTCCACCTTGGCTGGTCCTGCTGACCACACAAGAATAGAGCTCTGCTCCGAAGGGGGTACGCGGCCAATGCTGGACCCAGCAGCTGCCGCCGCTCCTGGAGGTTTAGCCCTCCCTGGGGCACCCAGGCTGCCCTTGAGGATGGCCACGAGAGGGGGAGGGGCCAGGCAGCTTGTCTGAGTGCATGTGAGTGCGTGGGAAGGTACACGCATGTGTTGGTGTGAGACAGAGACAGGGAAGGGGTGGCAGCTTTCTCTGGAGAGAAGAAGATTTAAAAAGACACACACACACATAAAAAAAATAAAATAGGGAGCATGAGCGAGAGAGCCATAAGCTCATTCTGGGAGGAAAACATCCACCCCTGGGCCAGCACATGGCCTTGGTTAGAAGCCTGTCAAGCTGACTTTGCCTGCTGCCTCCTGTAAGTGTGTGTCAGGGAGCGAGAAGCAGTGCCCAGGGCCTGCTTGGATGGCAGCAACAATGGCTTGGAGACAAGCTGGCCTCTCACTAAGGGGAGAAACTGGCTGGGGAAGAAGAGACTAGAATGTTTCTGTAATTCATCCAGGACTGGTGAGAGCGACACAGCTCAGGCCCCCATCCTAGCTCTGGACCCACCATCTGCCCCCTACTCAGGCCCTGGGAATCTGCCTTGGGACAGAGACAAGGGGCTAAGGAACACAGGAGAAACTATCCCCTCCTCAGATGAAGTGACCCTATGGGACTAGCCAAATTAGCCCAGAGCAAGACCTGGCCTAGAGGCTGCCAAGACCTCTGTGTTGTCCAGAGAGGACCTTGGTTTCCTGGGTGGGGATGGTCCAGGTAGGGTGGCCTCTCTGAGCACCCCCAACCATCTACAGATGGTCAGGCATGTGTGCCACTCAGCCTAGCACCCCAGGCCTCCAGGGACACTTTCTCTATTAGTGTTGGGACTCAGGATTGGGGTAAGAGGGGTGGAGGGTCATGGAGGGCACTCACCCCGGAGCCACAGTAGCGCCCCAGTCTGGGGGCTGTGCTGTCATAGCCATCAAAGAGCTCCATGTAGTCATAGCCACAATCGGTCTCTTCCTCCACTTCGAAGGTCCGGAACACGAGCTCCACACCATAGCCCTCCTCGGCCACGATGACCCATTCACAGTCCACCCCGCTGGGGTAGTTGTTGTCACCAAACTGGGCATGGGAGTAAAGGTCCTTGGTCTTCACGTCTGCCCGAACTTGGCCCCCACACTCTGCAGGGGACGACAAAATTGGCCACCGCCCCCTGAGTACCACCCTGAGCTGGACACGGCATCACACCAGGCTGGGGAGGGAGGCCACGTGGTCAGTGTGGGTGGTACCTGGCTTAGGACTTGGCTGAGCAAGTGTCCTGCTATACTGCCTCAGGCTAGGGGCTACGAGGAGCTGGGGTGCTCTGAGGTGAGTCTCCTGGTGGAAGGTGGCCTAGGCCAGGGGAAGGCACACTTGGTCTCTAGAGGACACTGTTAATTTGCCCCAGCCGAGAGCTGCCAAGGAAGAATGTGGCTCAGTGTCACCAGAGCTTCCATTTTCAGGAGAGAAGCTATATAGCTGGTTTTATGTGGAAACTCCTGATTCTTCAGTGCTGGCTCAAAATTTTAAAAAACAATGTGTGGGCCAAATACTGAAGTCTGCGGGCCAGATGGAGTTCTGGCCTCTGGTTTGTGACCCTCGCCTGGGAAGGGCAAACAGGAACACACAGGGCAGGGTCACTGGCAGCCTCCTTCTGCCCAATGCCCTCAGGCCTCTCTCCTGTGCCCTGGTGCTGATGACCCCAGGAGGGGGTGGGGAGGAGGCCAGGTGGGGTCAGGGTGGAGTTAGAGGGGAGGAAGGGAGGCCGTGGACCCATCAGTTCTGGGGACTCCCTGTTAGGGGGCTCCCGGAGAACTGCAGCTGACGCCCTTGGTCTGTGCTCATGGGCTCCCAGGATGGGCTCCAGCCTCTCTGCAGCCCCAGGGTGCCCACTTTGCTGCCGACCTCACACACTCACACCTGTGCACGCCCTGAGCCGTGCTGAGGCCTCTGCCCCTGCCCCTGTCCCTGCCCAACTACCCCCAGTTGGACCCGAGTGCCCTCGCTGTGCCCTTATTGTGTCGTGTCTCATGCTGTAGATCCGCACCTGACTTCTCTGGCTCCTGGGGGTCAGGCACAGGGGTGAAGGGCTCATGTCTGACTCACTGCCACAAGCCCCCCATCCCCGTCTTTTGGAACAGGGACAGCTCAGTCCATGGGGGTCAAATAGGCAGGAGAATGCAGAGTGGACCCCTGAAGGGCCAAGGTCATTTTTGCCACTTGAGCTTGGCATGCTGCCACACACATCACATGCTCATAAATATCCATACAGTGAGTGAATGGGTGCATCTAGGGGTGGGGGTATGGGTGGGAGGATGCACTGTCTATGTGTCACCAGTGGAGACTCTTGGGGATCCCCCCATCCCTGGACTGTTGTTACTGCTGTTTCCTGACCTCCCTCCTTAGTGCTCCCTCTGCCCCTCTGGCCTGTCCTGGGAACACACTGTCTTGCCTCTTGGGCTCTGTCTGTCTGGCCTGGCTTGGAGACCTAGGTCGGCAATGCCTACAGCGCAGGGGACAGTGGGAGGGCAGTGCTGCCTGTGACAGGCCTCACCTGTGGAGTGRGACGCCTGGAAGCCTTTCCTCTGGACTGAGTTGTCCGAGTAGAAGCGSAGGAACATCCGGCTGCCCGTGGCCAGGACGGGCTCAGGCTTCTTGCTGCCACAAAAACGGCCAAGGACAGGGGCTTTGGCATCACGTCCATCAAACACCTCCAGGTGGTCATAGGCGCACTCAGGCTGAGACTCGATGTCCATCTCCAAGAAGGTCTGCGAGGCACGAGGCAGGAGTGCTTATTAAGGAGGTGGCCAGGGCAGCTGGGGTAGAAATGGGTGGCTTCACTCTGAGCCTCTGGACCCCAGCTCATGCACACCCATGGGAGTGGCCACGGCTGGGGGATGCTGCTGAGGGAGGACTCGGGAATGGGGTCATGCRGGAACACCTCCAGTGTGCACTGGGAAGGGGGGCCTATGTCCCTGCAGGGATGACAGGGCATGGGTTCAGTCAGGCCACCCTGTCTGCAGCCAGCACTTCTGACACAATAGTGCTTTTGAGGTGACAGAAGCAAGCAGAGCCACCTGGCATGGAGRGAGGGTCACTCATGCATGGGGGGGCAAGGTCCTTACCAGCTTGACCCGGTGCCCCGGGGTGCTGGAGATGGCCCAGGTGCACTCCTTCTTGCTGGGATATTTTTCCGGCCAGTTGGGACTGGTGATGGTGCCACTGGTGGATGTCACCTTGTGGTCACAGCCAGCTGTGGATATATGAGTGGTGGAGGGGCTCTGAGGGGCCCCATGTGCTGATGTCTCCTAGGAGGAAAGCGCTTCCTTCCTTCTGTCTCTTGTCCCCTGCTTACAAAATGAACTAAGTATGCCCGTGGTTTCTTTCTCACTCCGGGACCCGTGCCCAGGGCAAGTCTAAGTGCTTGGCTCCTGCGAAGGCCTTAGGTGAGCATCGAAGGAAGCTGCTCTCTGGGGCCAACYCGACCCCTCTGTGGCCATGTGGTCACACCACCTCTGCCAGGGAACCCTGACACCTAATATCACACACTCTCCCAGCTCTGGGRGTTCAGTGCATCCTGAAACTGCCCTCCACTGGCCACAGGAGACTCTGGCACCTGACTCCGTTTTCCTCTGCTCCCGACTCCTGCCACCTTCCTAGGTGATGTCCACCAGCAGGTGGCTGGCCCACCAACACAGTCTGTGTCCCTGGACCTTCTCAGTCCCGTGGGTTCTCGTCTCCCTTCCTCAGATCCTCACCCTGGGCTTTGCCTCCAGCACCTCACTGTCTCTGTGGCTGCTCCTGTTTCCCAGCGTATTCGGCCCTGGCCTTGCCAACGGTGGTTACTCTACTTTGGAGACACCTCCCTGGTCTTTCCCTTTCTGTTTTCTTCCAGTAGAGATGTCCCTCAGTACCACAGGGAATTTATTCCAGGRCTCCACAGATGCTCAAGTCCTTATATAAAATGGCCTAGTATTTGCACAGAACCTATGCACATCCTTCTGTGCGCTTTAGATCATTTCTGGATCACTTATGTAACACCTCACAGTGTAAACACTGTGTAAAAATCCTTAACGTTGCATTGCTTCCAAAACCACGGCAAAGGTCTGAATGCGTTCAGGACAGGCAGGATCATCACAGGCCCCTGTGTTCTCAGCCGGCATGTTTGGCCCCCACGAACCTGGAGGGCTTGCTGACTTCCCTCTCCAGCTAGACATGTAGTTTGGCTAATCACCAAACAGCTCATCCACACTGGCATCCCAGAGTGCTGCCCTTCCAACTTAGAAAACCCCATCTGTGGTCTCTGACCTCACAGGGCCCCCAGACCACTGGATCCTCTTTGGATTTGTCCTTTCCCAGCTCCATCTCTCCGGTCTTCAGCAATTGTCCAAAACCTTCATCCCTTTCCTTGAGCCCTTGTCTCAACTATCCTCCACCTGAGCTGCAGACCGCCTACCTCCTGCCTCCCGAGGACACCAGGGCCCTCCCACATGAACCTGCTTGCCTCCCTCCTTCCCTGTGGCCTCAGTGAAGTTGTCCTTTCTCCCCATCAGCATGGATCATCTTTCTGGGAGTTAGAGCTTATTGTTGGCCACACCAGGGAACCCTCCCACCACAAAGGATCCACTGTCAGGCTCTCTCCCAGTTCTATAGCCCATGGACCTCGCAGAACTCTCCTCTGTGCCCCCAGCAATGACCCCTCCTCACTCCTCTTCTTCTCAGCTAAACTTCTGGAAAACTGGCTACCACCTTCTCACTACTTATGTCTCCTTGGTCCACAGCAATCTGACTTCTGCCTCTGCAGAGTGCGGCCTCCCAAATGCATATTGAAAAGCGATGATCACTATTCATGGTCACGCTCTCTGGCAGGTCCCTCTGAGGGTAAGTGGGCAGCCACTGGGCTGTAGGATCGGGAGGAAAAAGGGACCGTCTGGGCCTTGAGTCAGAGGCTCCTCAAATGCATCCTACAGGGGCCCCAGGGCAGGGCCCTTGCAAGTCCCTGGTGCAAACAGCTTGAGCTCCTGCCTCTCCACTGTTGAGCTGAGGGCTGTCCTCATCACCCACTTGTAGCTTCCATGGCCACTGTGCCCACGCCATTTCCACACCAGTTTCCCCGCTGTTGCCTTGCACACTRATGTCTCTCCCCAGCTAGTCTATAATCTGCTTTAGAAACAGGGACTCCTTTCTCCAATCTCCTACAGAACTCTGCACACTCGTGGGTGCTCCACGGGCCAGGGGATATAGACTGATCCGTCATTATCCTGCACCCCAGTGAGGGGCCCTGGTGCTTCTCAAATGAATCGGATAAGCAGATGAACAGGCCATCTTTCCAGGAGGGGAACACCTTTTCCTGGCTGACTGGTTGATGCTTTTCTTTATCAAACCTCTTTTCCATGGAGACTACAGAGCCAGAATACAGTTCAGACAAGAGCAGATAAGGCCCCTTGAGCTAAAAGACGTGAGCACTCCAAGGACTATGAGCGCAACACTCAGAAAGTCCTTGACTCTTGTTCACTGAGGTGCATTGATTCTGTTTATTCAGCTTAGCAGCTTTTATTTCCACCTGGGTTCCACATTTTTTTGGGGGGGGGGTACCAGAGATTGAACCCAGGGGCATTTAACCATTGGCCCACATCTCCAGCCCTTTTATTTTTATTTTGAGACAGGGTCTCACTAAGTTGCTTAGTGCCTCACTAAGTTGCTGAGGCTGGCTTTGAACTTGTAATCCACCTGCCTTAGCCTYCTGAACTGCTGGGATTACAGGCATGCACCACTGCACCAAGCTGGGGTGTCCACTTAATCATGGTGAAGAGTCATTTGCCAATACTGTGCAATGTCTAGAAGTCTTAGTATCCTGCAGAGTGGGGCCATTCTTCTTTCTTTTTTTTTTTTTTTTAGTTGTAGATGGGTAAATACCTTTACTTTGTTTTATTTATTTATTTTATGTTGTGCAGAGGATCAAACCCATTGCCTCACACGTGCTGGGGGCCATTCTTTATCATTTCATGGATGAGGAACTGAAGCTCAGAGAGGTTTAAGTGACTCACCCCAAGTCACATGGTCAGTGTCACAGACAGGTCTATGTTGTGTTATTGGAATTGTACATGCTCAGCAGACAGGGAACATGCAATTAATGACTTGGAGTAGACCATGCTATATTGTGTCCTAACAGGTATTGAATGATATGGGTGATGGCATGACAGTTGATTTTTTTTTTTTTTTTTTTTTTTTGGTACTGGGGATGGAACCCAGGGATGCTTTACCACTAAATAACATCCCCAGTCCAATTCTTCTTAATTTTGAGATAGGTCTCACTAAGTTGCTGAGGGTCTCAATAAATTGCTGAGGCCAGCCTCAAACTTGTGATCCTTCTGCCTCAGTCTCCCAAGTCACTGGGATTACAGGTGTGTACCACTGTGACCACCTGAGCACTATTGTTAAATACATAAGAAGTATCCCTTATTCAAAATGCTTGGGACCAGAAATGTTTCTGATATTAGAATATTTGCATATAGGTGAGGAGATATCTTGGGGATGGGTCTAAACAAGAAATTCATTCATGTTTCATCCACACCTTAGGTAATTTTATGCAATATTTTCAATGCACCTGTGTTTTGACTGTGATCCATCTCRTGAAGTCAGGTGTGGAATTTTCCACCTGTGGCATCCTGGGGGTGCTCAGAGTTTCCAGTTGCGAGCACTTTGAATTTTCAGATTAGGGATACTCGACATGCACATGCAGAGCTTCACAGTGAAATGGCAGCCCTGTTCTGGGTGCCTCGGGGATCAGAAATGTAACATGGAAACATTCACAACTATGCTTGCTCAGAGTACCTCAGGGCTCCCCTGTGCCCTCTGAGGTGGGGATGATTATGACCTTCATTTTGCACTGGAGCAGAGGAGGCACAGAGAGGGTAGGTAGTGGCTCAAGGGCACACGGCTGGCTAAGTGGCAGAGTGGGGCTGGGCAACCTGGCTCCAGGATCTGTGCTTTTACCCCCTCTCCTCCTGGGCCTGTGTGCTGGTAGGGGGTCACTACAAAGAGAAAGACTTGCCTGTAGGCTTCAGGAAGAGCCTGAGAACAGAGCCTCAGGCAGCTGTGAGCGCCTCTCCTGACTCAGACAGGGAGAGCCCACCAGTGCCCCCACCATGGGAAGGGGAGGTGGGAGGTGAAGTGAGGTGACCTCAGAGGGCACTTGCTCTGTGAGTCTCAACCAAGGTGGGTGGAGGCGACACTGCGGGTTCCCACCTCTAGTGTAAAGATCTACCTGTGCGACACCCCAGGTATTCTGGGGTACCCGGCGAGCTCTGGTCACCCCAGCTGACAGCGTGGTGTCCCCCCGCCCTTACCTTCCTTGCAGTCGTGCTTGTTGTCATGGAGAACGAAGCCACTGCGACACTGGCACTCGTAGCTGCCGAATGTGTTGACACAGTCTTGCTGGCAGCCGCCATTGTCCTTGGAGCACTCGTCCTTGTCTAGGGGGCAAACAAGGGCAGCCTGGTCTGTGTGAGGCTGAGGTCTGGTGGCCCCAGGGGAYGCGGGAGGCCTGGCGGGGCTGCCTCTCACTGGGAGAGCACGAGAGCCAGTGACAGGCAGCGGGGCTGGGGGGTGGGAGGCCAAGGCGATGACGGGTCCTGGGCACTGCATCAAGCGGAGACAGCTGAGCGGGCCCAGCTGAGGGGAGAGAAGGTGCAAGTGGGGTGGGGGGAGGGCCGGGGGAGGGTCTGGAGCTGACCAGCATCGGGACTTCTACCATTACCTGCTTACTGGACAGACGGACAAGTGGAAAAACAGACACACGGACAAGCAGACTGCAAGAGAAAGGAGCAGGACGCAGGGGTCCCTCTTTTACTTCACAACAGGAAATGTCACAGACACCATCAAAATGGGAGGGGGGCAGGGAGGGTCCCCTGTCGGCTGAGGGGGACAGGGGAGGAGAGTAGAGCACCAGTTCTGTCCGGCCAGAGGAGGTGGCCAGAGTGGCAGAGCAGAGGCAGGGGGTGGGTGGGCTCCGAAGCCCCCAGCCCACTCCGTCTGTCCGAGGTGAGCTTCCTGAGTAACGAAGGGTCTGGGAGGCCGGGGGGGCCTCACTGGGGGGTCCGGTTTCTTTTCTGCACTCGGTATTTGAGCTGGTGGGGGCGTCCCCGAGGGGGCTGCAGAGGTGGCCTCTTTTCTGAAACGACAGAGAGAAGGAGAAAAGGGACCAAGGGGTGGGGGTGGAGGGCAGGGACCAGAGAGGGAAAGCAATGAAAACCAGACCCGGGCCTTGAGGCAGGTAGGCAGGGCCAGGCGGGGCGGGAGGGCAGCGGACACACATGCGGGCGGCCATGTCATCGCAGCCAGGTCACTGAGGGCTGGGTCAGCAGGTGGGAGGAGGCACAGCACAGGGGAGGGAGCCTGTGGCAAGGAGAAGGCCTGGAGGGACAGCAAGAGCTGGGGTGTGCACCCCGCACCCTGGGGATGGGACGGGGAGAAACAGGAGCCGTTGGTGGGGATGGTGTGTGCAGGGGGCTGGGAGAGCTGCGCTCACACTCTCATTCCCACGGCTGCATCTGCCAAGTGTCAGACACAGACACTCACACACAAGCCCACAGACACGCTGCCACGCAGCCCTGAGCACGGATGTGCTGCGGTCCAGACCCGGCAACACAGACGTGCATGCGGTCCATACCACCAACACAGACACACACCTCCAACACAGCGCACAGATGCAGACACACTCAGGAAGTCAGACACGCCCGCACACGTGGCTACTGGGGACCTAGACAAGGATGCAAGGACATAGGTACGTGCTCACTAGCTGCCCACTCACATATGGTGCTGCTCATGTGCTGGGGCCCCTTRCACACACGCACACGCATGCACACATGGGGCGATGACAGAGATACACATAGTGTCGGGTGGGTGAATGCCACAGCCACATATTCTCAGGCCTCCCTGTGGTCATTTGGGGGATGATGTGCCAGTGTAGAGGTGGGCATCCTGGCGAGGTGTGTGGGCACAAAGGAGGCCCAGAATTCCAGAGATGTGGTGGAAAGACTCCGGCTGGCATTCAACCAGCCAGGTGGAATTTGTGACGCGACCCTGCTCTGGTCTCCCGGGAGAGGAACCTGAGGGCCTGAGCACAGGGCCCTGCTTCTCACCCAAATGCAGGTGGGTCAGACCCGTTGGGGCCTGCAGGAATACAGGGCTGTCAGATGGGATCCAAGTCCCTTCCCAATGGCTCCTTCTCTGCACATTACGGGGAACCTGCCCGAGGTCCTGAGGATACTGCCTTTGCACCAGTTGTGGGAAAGGTGGGGTGACAGGCACCCCCTTCCCTGTCCTGGGGTTCAGGAYACTGGGAGCTGGGGCTCAGCTCTACACTGGGTGAAGACGTCTTGCTGTCTTCCCGTGCCTTGCTTGTGTTTGCACCTCAAATACCTGATCTGGTGTCCGGCACCCAGAATTGCCAGATGATTGAGTGAGTGGGTGAGGGGTGGCTGAGTCAGGGAAAGTCAGTCCCAGGGAGGGGACTCAACATCCAGGGCAGGGACTCTGGCACAGGCTAAGGGGAATGGGCAGCCCCATCTTGGCACCTGAGGAACAAATTGCAGGAGGGACAGGAGCAAAGGGAAGTAGGTGCGGGCCGACAAGGAGATGGCACTCACCCTACAGTGCCCAAAGGCCCTGGAGATGCTGGGGCCAGACCGAAGGTCTTCAAGCTCTTGCTTCTCCTTCTTGGTTTAGGGTCTCCTCGATGGGTGTCCCAAAAGTCCAAAGAGCCCCCTCCTGGGGGGGCCGAGTCAGAAGCCCCAGGCCCTGAGGGCTAAACCTTGATGCCCATTGGTGAGGGTCCTCTCCAAGTTCCTTGTGCCATGGGGCAATGCATGTGTGTGTGTGCATGTGTGTCTGCGCGCTCTCGTGTACGTATGCCAACATGCTTGCCTGTGTCTTATGCATGGCTAAGAGTGGGTGGGCACGGTGTCATGCAGTGTGGGGGGCAGGGCAATAACTCCAGGGATGTGAGCATTGGCCCCGCCCCCTCCAAGACCGGAGCAACACCAGGGCAGGAAGAGACAAGTAAGCAGGTAATGGTTCCCGGGCCGAGCAGCCCCTGAGCAGGTGTTCTGTCCCCCCGGCCCTCTGGTAAACACCTTCTAGGACTTCTAGGTGGGCCCAGGGAAGGAAGGGGTTGGCCTTGCAGGCAGAGGGTCTCAGCAAGCTGTGGGGCAGGGGCTGTGGGCGGAAGCCCAACTGAGCACTAAAGCAGAGTGGGGTGGCTGGCAGTGCCAAGCAGGGGACCAATGTACAGGGCAGGTGCATGGCATCCAGGTAGGGCAGGCAGGGTGCAGAGTAGCCACACAGGGGGCTGGAGGATGCAGGACCCTCGGCAGAGGCATGGGGAAAGGGAAATGGCATGGAYGCAGCCGGGAGCTTCCTGCCCACCCTAGGCCCGGCCCACCAGGAGAGTTGGGGTGAGGGTTCCCTGGCCACTCCTCCCCAAGCCACCTGCTCCAGCAGGCTTCCTGCTCTCCTCATGCTGYGTTCCAGAGAGTTCCTGCCCTTGACTGCCTGAGCTCCAGCCCTTTTGCCTTTGGAGGACACCAGCTGCCTCGCAGTCTAGCCCTGGGCCAAAGGCTAGGGGAGTCATAAGGTAGAAAAGAGGCCTCTGGGACCCTGGAGGTCGAGCTGGAGAGGCTGGGTGGGGACTGATGACCATTTGGACCACCCAGACAGGGGCCCAGGGATTTGAGCCAAGCCTTATGTGGGGCAGCTCAGTCAAGAGATACTGAGGGATCTGAGCCTCCCACCCCAAGGGCAGAGGGGAATGGGAAGGCTTTGGGAGTAATGGAGGAAGGCCCCAGCGCTAACTTATGCTGGGGCTGATTAGAAAGTCCAGTGAATGCTGGATGATCTGCCCTACACAGCCCACCTTCTCTTCTCCTCTTCCCCCTGTTCTCAGCCACACTGAGCCCTGTCCCCAGGACCTGCCTTCTCAGGCCTTGGCATGCAGGCCCTGGGTACCTGGAACGTCCTCACACTTCATTTCTCTGCAGATATTCTGCGCTTGCTGGGCCCGGCGCCATTATGACCACGAGGGCTCAGGAGTAGTGGGATTCAGACACTGAAGGGACTGGCCTGGTGGTGGTTGGTGAGTGGGGACGCAGCGGGTAGGCCGGGCACCAGGGAGGGCTGGGGAATACAGGGGTGCAGAGGCAGAAGGAAGGGGAGCCCTGTCCTCTGAGRGGAGGCAGGGCTGGGAGCCGGGGAGTCCTGGGGTACCTGAGAAGAAGTGAGCCTTGAAGCCCTTTTTGGACACTGTGTTGTCAGACTTGAACTCCACGCGCATGTTATTGTACTGGGAGGTGATGACCTCGGGCTTCTCAGAGCCACAGAACTTGCCGTGTAGCTTGGAGTCAGCCGTGAGCCCACTGCGCACCTCCACGAAGTCGTATTTGCACACCTGTGGGGAGCCCAGCTCCAGCTGCTTCCTCGGGACACCTCTCCTGGCCACAACCGCCCCAGGGAAGCTGCCGTCCTACAGATTCTCTAGACTTTCGCGTTATCTGCTCCCCACATGGGGTCCTCCTGGGTGCCCTATAATGCCCAGTGGGCTCCGAGCTCTTCCTTACTCGCAAGACTCCAAGACAATGTCCTACACTCTCACCTGCCCCAACTGGGGGCAGTCTCCTCCACATTCCCACAGACTTTCCGCCTGGACCTCTTTCAGAGGGCACTGCTATCTCTGAGCTGAGTTCCCACACCCCATGCCTTCCTGTCCCCCTTGGCCCCAGAGGGCACTCACGTCATTGCCCTCAGTCTCGAAGAAGTCGAACTGCAGGGAGATTCGGTACTGGGTAGGGGCTACCAGCTGCCAGATGCAGTTTTTGTTGGGAGGGTACTCCTTGGGCCAGCCTGGGCTGGTGATGGAGCCGTTTTGCTTGGTGAGGAACCCACCGCAGGCAGCTGGGGGGACACAGGAAGTGGCATCATGGCCAGGAGACCCCACTCGACGTAGGGGCCTGACACCTGGCCTGGGTTGCAGTTAGGAGGAAAGGAGGTCTGTGGGATCCACAGCCCAAGGGCTTGGGACAGACAGGAAGGAGGAAAGGTGAGGGTGGGTGTCTCCAGAGGTGAGCCTGGAGGCAGGAGGAGAGGACCGCGGGTCTGTGCTGGGGCCATTTCTACCCCCTCTGCTGGAGAATAGACCAGGGGTCTGGGAGGAGGGCAGGGAGGGGCTCTGGAAAAGCAGTGCCGTGAGCAGACCTGGGAAGCACATGGCGCAGGATGGGGGGTGCCACTCAGGGTGCACTGAGACCAGCCTGAGCTGGAGCCCTCAGCTTGGAGYGCTGTCACTAGCAGCTTGAGGACATGCACCCCGAGGCTGAGACTCAGTGCCTGTCACAGACCAGTGGTTTCCAAATTGTGAATCAGGACACTCTGATTCACCCCTCTGGTGTGTGGTGACATGGACTGCCAGGTCATGATCAGCACCAACAAAACAGTAAGAAGAAAAAACCCCGAAGCCGGTGCATATCCTATGTGGCAACAATGCCACTGTGTTTCTTACCCCTAAGTTGGGAACAGAGTACTAGGAATGCTTCCAGCTTTTCCAGGAAGGGGAATGTCCYGGGGCACAGGATGGGAACAGGGCTGGGAGGCAAGTGGGCACTCACCCTCACAGCGGCGCTTGTCTGGGGCCAGCTCGTACCCAGGGTCACAGCTGCACTTGTAGCTGCCCAGGGTGTTCAGGCACCGCTGCTCACAGCCCCCGCGGTTGGGCCGAGAGCACTCGTCCACCTCTGCAGGGAAAGRAAAGAGGGTGTCAGACCCCCAGGTCCTGGCCCCTTCTTCCTGCCCTCTGCTTGGGGACAAGGCCAGGGTCCCTCAGGCTTCCCATGGCCACCTGTCATGGGAAGGAATGACAAGGGTATGTCTCCCAAGTCTGCTCAGCTGAGCCCTGCCCAGTGCATACCTATTCAGAACCAGGGGAGCCCAGGGCACCTGCCCTGTACTTTGGTCCCCTGCTTGGCACTGCCAGCCACCCTGCTCTGCTTTAGTGCTCAGYTGGGCTTCTGCCCCACAGACTGGGCTGGCTGGGCAGCCACCACCACTCCCTAGTGCCTCTTGTGTGCTGTTGTTCTTTGCCAAAGGACTTCTTTTRTTTTTCCTTCAGTCCTTTCCAAGAAACTCGTGTCCATTTTACAGGTGAAGAACTGAGTCTCGGGGAGAATCCCCTGCCCAAGATCACACTGAAAAAACCCTCACTGCCTTASTTTCTCCCCAGGTCTCTCCAACCTCGTCTTCTCCTTGGGCTTTTCTCCCTCCTTTGCCCATAGCTCCCAACAGTGGGCACGGTGTGGCACGCCTGTAACCCGGGGCCTGGGCAGGCTGAGGCAGGAGGATTGCAAGTTTGAGGCCAGCCTCAGCAACCGAGCCAGGTCCTAAGCAACTTAGTGAGAACCTGTCTCAAAATAAAAAATAAAAAGGGCTAGGAATGTGGCTTGGTGGCTCAGATTTGCTCCTGGGTTACAAATCTCTAGTACACTCCCCACTGCAAAAAAATTTCAAAAAAAATAAAAAAATTAAAGTAAAATAAAATAAAAAGGACCAGGGATGTCACTCAGTGGTAGAGTGCTCCTGGGTTCAATCCACAATGCCAAAAAAAAAAAAAAAAAAGAGGGTGCCCAGCATCTTCCTGGCATTTGCATTGCTGGTGGTCTTCATGTCAAATGGTGAGTGAAGAAGGAATGAGGAGGTGGCTTGGCCACAGGAGGGGCATGGRGCAGAGGAGGAGGAGTCACCTTTGAAAAAGTTAACTGCAAAGCCAGCCTTGTTGATGGATCCATCAGAGACGAACTTGAGCCACAGGCGGCTGGATGTGCTCTTGATGTCGTCGGGCTTCTCGTAGCCACAGTAGCGCCCGATGAGGGTGCTGCTCTCGCTGTGCCCGTCGCGCACCTCCAGGTAGTCATAGGCACAGCTGTCGTGGCGCTCAATCTAGGGGTCAGGGGCTCCATCAGCGACAGGGGTCTTGGCTGCCAGGGCCCCAGCCCCTGGGAGCCTGCAGACAGGTGGGCTGTCCCAGGYGCCAACACAGGATTCACGGGTCAGACCACACGGTCTCTGGCCTACCTCAAAGGACTGGAATGTGAGGCCCACATGGAAGCCCTCGGACACCTGGATCCGCCAGATGCAAACTTTGCTGGGCCGGTAGTCGTCTGGGTAATTGGGCGACTGGATATGGCCATTGTCCTTTTTCACATCACCCCCACAGATGGCTTTGGGGATACAGGGTGAGGGGGACAGGTGGTGAGTCACACACTCTGCCCTGCCTGGGAGCCCCTTCCTACCCCTCCAGCCCTTCCCACACCCCCAGCTTCCCGACCCCGGTGATACCCCTGGTGTTACCTGACCCCACAGCCTGCCCCAACAACCCCACCCTCTGCTTTCTCCCAGGGAGATCCATAACTGTACCCTCAGGTGCCAGGAAGAAATGGTTCTAGGGTGCCCAGGGAACCCATAGCTCCCCCCACCCCTAGTACCTTCATAGACGGCAAAGAAGCCCTTTCCAACCCAGTTGCTGCTGCTGCGAAACTCCACCCAGAGGCGGCTATCCGTGGAGACGATGGGCTCCGGGAGTTTGCCCCCACAGAACCGGCCTGCGGACAGCATGGACAGAGGACTCCTGAGCCCCAGCACCCGCCTCCAAGAAGCCCTACCCCTCTGGGAGGCTTGGGGCTCTGTCCTTATCAGCAACCATCCTGCCGCACAAGGACCACAGAGCTGCTGGATGACTCATGGCTTGTCCAAGGTGAAGCTTAGCTTTGAACACCCAGAAATACCTCAGATAGGATGTGAGTCTGCTTCTAGGGGTCTGGTCCTCCTAATACCTGACCACATGGGAACTATGGTCCTTTTAAAAAAGCATATTAACTCTCACCACTTACGTTGCCTTGCCTGGTCTCCATGAAAAGAAGTAACAATCAAGAAAGGGACATCGCTTTCTCTGCACATTATGACATGCTTTTACAGGCACTGGATCAAAGGCAGGGGGTGCCCCAGCACCCCAAACAAATCCTAGAATCTAGGGACTGAGTCAGAAACACTTCTGCTGATATAAAACCCAAATGTCAACATCAGGGATGAGGTTGGCCAATTGTGTGTTCCTAATAAGACTGGGTGTTTCCCAACTTTCGGCAAGGGACAGAGGGTGCTGACCTAGGAATGTCAGTTATGAGAAAGAAATTGCAATCTTGGAGACCTAACATAGCTACGGAGGAAGTGTTGTAATGACAGCTGCTTTGTGTGACTAATGAGAACTATTCAAACACCAACCCTGGGGGAAAACAGAGAGAGCTAACAAGGCTGCGGTAGAGCTGGGGTSGTGGCTCAGTGGTACAGCACTTGCCTCGCAAGTGTGAGGCACTGAGTTCAATCCTCAGCACCGTACATAAATCAATAAAATTAAAAATAGAGGTATTAGCTGGGCTTGGTGGTGCATGCCTGTAATCTCAAAAAAAAAAAAAAAGACTGCATGGAGCTGCTTCTGGCACAGGTGCTAAGGCAGCCCTACTCAGGATAACRTCCAGACAGGAGAAGGAATGTCACACAGCTCCTTAGACTTGATGCAGATGTCCTCTAGGAACAAGGGACTTGCTTTGCCCTAATTCTATGACCATTAAAGCAACTTCAGTGATCCTGTGGTTTTGACCTACTTAGTCCCCACTGACTTCCTTGCCCTGCACTMGCTCCCAGGGACAACGTGTCCTGTGCAAACAAGGTCGGGCCRCTGTGCCAGGTGTGATGCCCTCTGAAGTGAGTTAAAAGCCTTCCCAGWGGGTTTATAATGAGTTGCTACTGAGCAGCGCTGTATCATGGGGCCTTGCAGACACAGAAAGAAGGGCCTCTGAAATTGCCCCAAAAAGGGAGAGAGACTGGAGCTTTGGGGATGCACAGAACAGCCTATCTGGCTCTCTCTGTCAACTCGGATGTCCCCCATCAATACAGTGACAGCTGCCCTCTGAGGGAGACCCTGAAGCCTGCACTGAGGAGAGAGATCTGGACCAGGGGCGGGCCTTGCCCCAAGTCACAATGCTCGGCAGCTAATCTGGACTATCTATGCCAGGACTCCTGGGTCCTGCACCAGGGTGTCACCCCTGCGAATCAAGGGGCCTGGAGGAGGATGAAGACAGCAGGGTGTGAGCAGTTCTGGGGGGAACCGCTGGCCGAGGAGGCTGCCGTGCACTGTGCTTTACCTCGGAGGGGCGCCTTCCTCCAGAAGCCGTCGCGGACCTCCACGTAGTCATACCAGCACAGGCGGCTTCGGTACAGGTCCATGGAGGTGAAGTTCAGGATGATCTAGGAGAAGCAGGGAGGAAGCGTTACACCGCTCCCCATCGGCTCTGGCCTCCCAGGCCTGCTGCACGACCACTGCCCGCCTCAAACCACAGGGGTCACTAAGGAAGAGTTAACCGCCTGCCATTGATGGTCAGTATTCTTCCCAGACAGCCCGTGTCGGTCTCCACTGAAAACGCATGCCCTCTGTCCCCATTCCCAAATGCTTGTATGAGACTAGGAGTTCTCTTGCACTGTCCCCTCAGGTCGGGGTCTAGACAGCTAACTCGGCTCTCCTTAAGGTCAGGATCAACTGCATCATCTTTAAGACGGAATGGGCCGGGAGCAGCGGCGCGTGCCTGTAATCCCAGTGGCTCCTGAGGCTGAGGTTGGAGGATCGAGAGTCCAAAGCCAGCCTCAGCAACTCAGCAAACACTAAGCAACTCAGGGAGACCCTGTCTCTAAATAAAATACAAAAAAGAGCTGGGAGGTGGCTCAGTGGTCAAGAGCCCCTGTGTTCGGTCAGGACAGGCCCAGGGTGGTGTGAGGGCAGAAGGGTGTCTGAGATGGGAATGAAGGGGCCAGAGGGCAGAGGCAGGAGAGATGGCTGAGTCACCAGTCAGCACATATTTACCGGGCACTAATTCTGGGTGTGTTAACGGCTGCAGGGAATACGAGATCTGAGCTTAGGATAGAAAGGGACCAGATATACCTAAGAGGATCCAGCTCCCTGAGATTTGGGCCTCAGCCCTGCATTCCTTGCATTCCTTGCGTAAACCACCTAGCCTCCCTGGGCCTCATCCAGTTGGTGTGCAAAACAGGGATAAGAGCCTGACGTTGCTGTGGCACTCCCTGGGACAGGCACTGTCCTAAGTTTCCCCGCTGCAGCCTCTTAGCTCATGGATGCTCAGTGAGCACTGGAGAGCAGTTAGCCCTTGTCCCAGGAGGGAAACCACTTCCTTGGTAGCATCCAGAGTGAGCCCCGAGCCTGCTGTGCAGTCAGAGTTCTCACGAGCAGGGACTCGGGGCGTTCCTTAGGACCTACAAGGCCTGTGCAGTGGACACTTGAGGGCCGGAGGGGCCCTTCTATTCTGTGTTAGTGAGCTTCCCTGATAAAGGGGACAGGAGGCCTCCCCTCCGCCTTATTAGAAAGTTAAGATGCAGACAGTCAGACGGGGCGATGCAGGCTTGTAATCCCAGCGGCTCAGGAGGCTGAGGCAGGAGGATTATGAGTTCAAAGCCAGCCTCAGCAACTTAGAGAGGACCTAAGCAATTCAAGGAGACCCTGTCTCTAAATAAAGTAATAAAAAGGCCTGGGGATGTGGCTCAGTGGTTAAGTACTCCTGGGTTCAATCCCTGGTATCCACCTCTCCCCAAAAAAGATGCCTACAGGGGAAGCCAGGATGACAATGACTTCCAGGCAGGTGCTGGCACTTGCTGTATCAGGGTCAACACTGCGCCCTGTCAAGGAAGAGCTTCTGGCCCCTGGGCACTTTCCCATGGCCTTGTCACATGCTGGGTGGTTTTAACACCCACCTTAACGATCCTTCCACCTCCATCTCTCAGTTCCCTGAAGTCCTCTCCACCCTCTCTTTATCCCTCCTGGGCCATATCCCAGAGGCCTTGCCCCAGGGCCCAGCACCATCATTAAGCGCTGATCCCACCCAGCCCTCCTCTCCATCCACTCCCCCAACTCTCCTATCTGCCACCTAGGGACCCTGCACCCACTGGCCGGGCACTTTCCCTGTTCGCAACTCCACCAGTCCCTTCTCTCCTCGCCGACCTTAGTTCTTAGTCTCTCCTTTTTCTTTTCTTTCTTAAGTTACTACTTTTTCCTGAATCAGTTTACATCCATCCACATTTGGCAGGCCTGTTATGAATTGTGGTTCCCTGAGCTAGACCTGGGTGAGGTCATATTTTAGAAAGGGAACTAAACATCACTCTTGATGATCATGAGCCTCACGGGTCGTCCTCAGTGTTGTCCTGAGTCCCAGCATTTTCAAACGCTGAATCTGCAAGACCTTTCTAGCCCTTCTAGGGAGCCAGACAGCACCTCACGAGGCAACCTGTGATCTCTTTAGAAAATGACCAAACGTGACCACAGAGGAGGCAGCAGAGGGCTGGCACTGCAGTCCTCCAACCCAAGCCTGGTCCAGCCTGTCGGTACCTCCTTACATTCAGCCTCACTCTTGTTCCTCCTCCTCCTCACCGTACTCACTGAAGACCCCAGCCTGGTTCCCTCGGCCTGCTGCCTCCTCAGTCTGGTACCCTGAAGGCCTCATGTAGCTGGAGAGACACGCAGCCAGGCCAGCTGGGATTCCAGCCCACCAGCTGCGGCCAGGCACACTCCCACACCCTGCCTCTCTTCTCCCTTTTTTTGGTACTGGGGACTGAACCCAGGGATGCTCTACCACTGAGCCACATCCCCAGCCCTTTCTATTTTGAGAAGGGTCTGGCCAAGTGGCCCACACTGGCCTGGAATTTGTGACCTTCCTGCCTCAGCCTCTAAGCAGTGAGAATGATAGGTGCCCGGCTTCTCCTCTTCATTCTGGGGAGGAATCACCAGCCTCAGYATCATCTTTTTTTCTGAAATAAAGTCCTTATTCAGTACCTTGCCTTCAACAGCATCAATCAGAGCAGAGCTTTTATGATGTAAACCTGACCGCATCTCCCCCATTTGAAATCCTTTAATGCACATACCCCGGAGTTAAATCCAAAGGACCATTTATCTCCCTCCCACCTCCCTCCACTCTTCTCCTTGCATTCTTAGTTGACTCCACCCACCCTCAAATACACCACAGCTACCCCAGGACCTTTGCATTGGCTTCCTGGAAGTGCTTCCCAGCTGCCTGTTACATGCTTTTTCACTTCCTGCAGGTTTCTACCCCAACCCATCAGAGGAGAAGCCTTCCCTGACCACCCACATCAGTCGGTGTTCCCCACCCTCCCCTTCCTCCCCCTGCTGATTCCCTCCTGCACAGTGACTTACTTATCTGCTTTTGTCTGAGTCTCCTTTGTGTTTACTAAAGCAGAAGGCCAGGACTTCATCTGTTTAACTAYGGACTTCAATAAATATTCCTCAGATGGAATTTTGCTTTGAAGAACCTACTCTACATAAGGACGTGCCTAAACGTAAAAAGATGGAAGTATAAAGGTATTTACTGAAGTATTCTTAGTAATGATGGAAACTTGAAAAAGAAACCAAGCATCCATCCGTAGAGGCCTGCAGGCAGGTGACTGAAAAATTAACTGAAGGGAAATGAAGACGGTGGATGTCAGGGTTTCATGAGAATGAATGGGCTAGTCCCCGAGAGCAGACACGGAACCAGGACGTGAGTGACAGTCAATCGCCAGACAAGGTGCAGAAGACTGTGTGTGTGTGTGTGTGTGTGTGTGTGTGTGTATGGGTGTGGGTGTGTGGTGGGGTATGGGTGTGGGTACACAGACACACACACACACCTAGGAGGGTCTGTGAGGACACACCAGTGCTCCCCATGCTTAGTCACCCCCGAGGAGTGAGATTCAGAGGAGGATCAAGGGGAGAATATTTACTGTTTTACGTGTGTATTTCTAGACGGCTCAAGATTTCACAGCATGCATGTGTTATTTCTGTATCTAACGAATGATAAAAATATCTAAAAGAGATGCTGGATGGAAAAAGGACTGCGGAGGGCTGAGTGAGGGCACCCCGGCTCCCAAACGGACACCCTTTGCCACGCCTGCCGTGGCCCCTCAGGACCTGCCGCCAGGTGCCTGGGAACTGAACGTGTGCACATTTCCCGGCAGGTCTGGCTCCCGAGAGCTGTCAATACGCGTGAACTTTGCTACTCGAGCTGAGTTTGCTGAAGGTATTTTGCTATCTGAAGTGGTTCCGAGGAGAACCCTAGAGGCAGAGCGAGACACGTGGATGCTGGGGAAGAAGACSGGGGTCCCTCATTGAACACCTAGGAATCCAGCAGCTGGCCCGGAGGGTTCCTCACTGTGTGCCCGGCACAGCTGTGAGCGTCTGTTTTTCCTTCCTTCTCAAAAGCAGGCCTGGCCCTGTCCAGGGAGGATGAGATCTGAAGAAACCACGCCTGGCCACAGAGCCCAGAGGGCCCACCCAAGGCCTCCCAAGGCACAGAGGAGCCCCAGGTCCCCCTCTCAGGAGGAGAGACCTGCACGGGTGGTCAGCAGCATCCTCCGGGGAGGCCCGGCGACAGCTATATTGAGACCAGAGGTGTCTAATTAAGAGTTGTACCGACTTCTGTCATGCGGAAACAGCTGTGCCCTGGTGGCAGGGGAACGTCCCTTTGCCAAAGAAAACCTGGCCAGCTCCACCACTTCCTGCCTGGTGACTGTGGGCCTGTGGCTCGGCGTCCTAGAGCCTCAGCATGTTTGTGTAAAGGATGGAGGTGGTCACGCTGGCTCCCTGGGGAGCTGGGGGACCAAGTGATACGGGTACCGGGGCTCCCAGGGCACCCATGACTGCGAAGGTCTCCTCACCCCTGCTGGGTGCCCGGGAAGGACGGACAGAAGGCCTCGCTGCTCCGCAGAGGCCCTGTGCTGGTAGCCATGTCAACCCTCGGCCACTGGCGGGCTTCAACGTGGCCTCGCCTTGCAACCTCAGGCAGGCCCCGAACTCCCGGCACTCCCTTCCTTCTTTTGAGAGGGTTATGATTACAGGACCCGCCTCGCAGGACTTAGGGGAATTAGATTCATATGAAAGTTTCCAGCAGGGTCTGGCACAATTATGTAGCCAATCAGCGTGAACTCCACTATTAGAGTTGAGTTGGCTTAAGATGGATTGATATTTCAACTGGGTCCGTTGAGAACCCTGGACATAGAGACAGGCAAGTAGAACCTAGGGCAGCTGCCTAGGGCTTCCTCGTTCAACACACAGGAATACAGAAAAGACACTCACATCCACTGAATTCTCACCATGGGCCACTTACTACTCTAAGCGCTTGAGGTAGACTAATTTGTTGAATCCTCATTTGAACCCTGTGAAGGGGATACCTGCAGGAGGCTCACTGTAGAGGTGGGGAAACAGAGGCACAGGGAGGTTGAGCAACTTCTCCAAGATCGCACAGCCAGGAAATCAAACCCAGACACTCTGGTTCTTAAACTTCTACCCTGCACCATTTCCCACGTGGCCTCCAGGGGTCTGCTGGTCAAGACTGCTCAGCAACTGTGCTGAGAACCAGTGTCCACTTTCCCTTAGTCCTCAGAGCCCCATGCCCTCCAGCACCCGAAAAGTAAAGGCTTTGCTGAAGAGGGAGGCGTCGCTGCTGCCTGGCTGGGCAATGGGAAAGGAGGAGGAATTTGRGTTGGACCCTGAAGAACAGGAGGGACTTCAGAAGGCAGGCGGAGGATGCTGCCAGCTCCAAAAGACATTTGCAGTTCTTATCTTCTTGGCTTCCCTGCACTGTTTGCCTGCTGACCATGAGATCCTTAAAACACTCTCCTCCTCTGCTTTGTTGCCTGGGAACCGCTGTGGGTCCTTGGCTCAGCTGCTAATGGTTTGTGCGCAGAGACTTGGGRGATCCTAAAAGAAGGCTCTTTCCCGTGTCTGGCATACTCGTGACGTGCAGAATTGTATAAGATCCACCTGTCATTCAAACTCTGGCAATAAGCTCAACACTGGGCAGCAAATGAAAAACAACCTCCCAGCAGCCAAAATAGATGTCAAAGTCCACCCACTAGAGCAGGTGGCTCTCCTGAAAGTTCACTGATGAAAGACCAGACTTTGGATTCAGGTAGTGCAGAACTAAGTGCCAGCGGCACCACTGCTACCTGAGTAAACCTGGGCAGGTTCCCCAAGTGCTATGAGCCCCAATTCCCTCATCTACCCAGGAGCCATGACAGCACCCAGCTCTTAAAATTGTGGGGAATAGCGAGGTGGTGTGTGTAAGACATCCAGGACTTTGCCTGGCACGTCATTGTCATAATAACAAAGACGGGACATAGMCAGTTTAAAACAGTGCAATTTAAAAAAAAAAATTGTTTTTTAGTTGTAGATGCACACAATATCTTTTATTTATTTATTTTCATATGGTACTGAGGATCGAACCCAGTGCCTCACACATGAGAGGCAAATGCTCTACCACTGAGCTACAGCTACAGCCCTAAAACAGTGCAGTTTTTAAGTGGGATGCAAAAGGAAAAGGATAACAGCAAAGGAAAAAAAAAAAGTGGCCATTATTATTCTAGCCCACCAGGCTTCAATGTCAAGGTCCCCATGGTGCTAGCCTGGGTTCACAGCTAGACTGCTTTCTATTCGATGCATTTCTACCTCAAAGCATTGATCAACATGGAATTTTTATCCTGAGCTCACTTCCCCTGGTGTTCCACACAGGCTTTTGAGAACTGGTGAGGGTCTTCTGGGAATTACGGAGGGAATGGACCAGCAGCACAGACAGGCTCCTGGGGCAGGGCCAGGTGTCCACTAGAGAGCTGGGGCACATGCATCCAGGGACAACAGGGAAGGAAGCTGATCCTGGCCAAGCCGCCTCACCCTGCTGACTGAGCCAAACTCCTGAGCAGGATAGAAAGCAATCCCCTACCTGACTCCATGCTTCTTGGGGCCTGGACTGTCTCTGACATCTGAACGTCTTTGGTGTCTGGCCCAGTGCCAGACTACCAGGCACACGTTAGCTGAAGAGCACCAAAGGAATCACTGAAATACCACAGGGTTTAGAGCAACATACCATACGGGATCTCAGATTCATGTGTCATCATCTAGGTTCTGTGTGATCTTGGGCCAGCTTCTAATTCTTCCAAATCCATTTTCTCATACACAAAACAGGGACAACTAGGTCTATAACACTGTTGTATTAATTAAAAGTCAACACATGTAAACAATTTAACACATGCTGGCATGAAGAAGTATGCCTGGAATGCTAGCAATTCGGAAGGCTGAGGCAGGAGGATCACAAGTTTGAGGCCAACCTCAGCAAATTAGCAAGCCCCTAAGCAACTTAGCGAGACCCTGTCTTAAAAATAATAATAATAAAAAGAGCTGGGGATGTAGCTCAGTGGTAAAACACCCCTGGGTTTAATCTCCAGTAGGGGGGGGGAAGAACTGAACATATGCTCAATAATTGTTTGTTGTTTGTGTTATTATTATGATTTGCAGGTGATATTTCCAAAGGCTGGAGAAGTGAAGACCCTTGGCAGGGGGAAGAAGGAAGCCAGGTTCGGTCAGTTGGAAATAGCAGAAAGGATTGCAATTTAAAGTGAGATTTGGAATGAGAAGAACATTCCCTTTTGAGGAAAGATGGTCAAATGCCAACGCAGAGAGAAGAGAAAATTACTCAGTTCTCAATAAAAGTCTGTCCCACGTGAGAAGGATCTTCAGATTGCAAAAACTAAACCTCAGCATCATTCACAGAGGAAGGAGAAACTGCTCAATAACGCAGCAGAACAAGAGTCAGTGACCACCTCTCTCACTGCATTTGTCCCTAGGCTCACAAATGACATCAGAAGACACTCAAATAACTTGCAGATGTGATCAGCGTGTGTAATCTTGAGAACTCAGAGCAGGAGCTTTCCCCATCTTCAAGTGGGGTGTGTGTGTGTTGGGAGTGTCGGGAGGGGGTTAGGAGTGGATTCCGGGAATTATAAACCACTGAGCTGAATGTCAGTCCCCAACGAAACAGATGCTCTGTGACCATTTAGAAAAGAAGAACTTGACGGCGGGGCCCAGCAAGCGCATTTCTCTCCCTTTTCAAAGGGGTTTTACCAACTGGCAGAGCAGGGGCTGTCAGCTGCTAAGATAGTCCAGCTTAGGTACTCGGCGCTTCTTAACCACTTCCTGTGCCAGGGACAGAGAGATGACAGAGGGGAGGTCTCAGGAGACACGTCCCCGTCAACAGGTAATGATGTTAAGTCATTACATTGTYACAAGTCATTGCAAGTGAATGGATCCATGTCAGTTTGAGGTAGATCTGGGATCTGCTTTGGTTTGCGTCCTGTTGGACATTTTGATCAGAGAGCAGGAAGAGGACACGAAGACCTGCTTGTCAAAGGAGCCAAGGCACAGGTAAGAGGCACAGCCACCTGCTGGGTGGTGGGACTCCACACTGCAGACAAGGGGAGTAAATCTTGTAGCTCACTCTTGGGAGCATTTAGACTCTGAAGGACACGGTGGGTCCAGGAGTGCTGAGAAATCCAGACTCCTTGTGACAAGTCCCTGCATGGGTGAGGAGGCAGGAGAGTGGCCTCCCAGATTGGGAGGGCTGACTGGGAAACAGGAAGACGRGTTACAATGAATTGCTCTGGAGGGAAGGACTGGGAGATTTCAGGATCATGGTTCCCCTCTTCATTAAGAGCTGGCTAGAGAATGGATAGAATATTCTTATTCTGAGATGTAGTGAGCCCCTCATCACCTCAGGAATTCAAACCAGGCTAGTGGACCCTGCAGAGGACRCTGCACTGGTCTCTGGGGCCCCTTGGCCACTCGGTGTCCGCCTTGCTTGCCTGCGTAAGCGGCAGGAAGGGCAGACTCCCTGCAGGAGGATGGCTGAGGCAGCCACAGTCTACCCCAGCCAGCCCCACAAAGGAAGCAACTGTGAGAACCAGGCTCACCCCCAGGTAAGAGGGACAGAGGCCGAGCGTCCTCTTTGGATCAGGAATGATACACCGGTGACAGGCAGAGGAGAAAAAGAGAGAGCGAGGCAGGGTCACAAAGTCAGGTCCCTGGGGCCAAGACTGTCGGGTCTCAGTACCAGGGAGCATCCTGTGGGAGGCCTTTGCCTGGGCCCTTAACTCTTCCAGAACCACAGCTCATCAGAACTGCAAGGGCCCTCAGGAGCCCCTGGCCCAAGCCCAGACAGGCAGATGAGAGCCTCCTCAGGGGCAGATGAGAGCCCCCGACTAGGGCTAAACAGTTCATCCAAGGCCACCCAGTCTGTCAAGGACAAGGCTGAGATGGAACCCAGTCCCGCCAAGGGTTCAAATCCCACCTCACTCCTTGTCAACTGCGTGACCTAGGGCAAGTTTACTTAACCTCCCTGCACCTCATTGCCTGTCTGTGAAATGAAGACACAGGGTGGCTGAAAGAATGGCAAGGGACTAGGTGACAAGCACCTAGGAAAGCACTCAGGAAGAGATGGGCAGTCTGGCCGCCCTGCAAGGCAGATGCTCACAGCAAGGCCATCTGGAAAGGGGTGCCGACTAGGTCCCTGAGTGGGGAGGAGGGCTGCCAATGGGCAGAAGCCCCTCCTCACTGTCGTGCCCCATGGGACTTGTGGTCACCGGCGTCCACACTGACCCCCACGTGGGAGAAGTCCCTGGGCTGAGGCTCCTCAGAGGAAATGCTCTCCCACTCCCAGGGTCCTGGGTTACCTTCTCCCCGGGCGTGACGGAGATGCGCCAGACGCAGTGCATGTGGGCCGAGTAGCCGTTGGGGTACTCAGGGGAAGAGAAGTTGCCTGTGCTGTCTTGTAGGGTCTCTCCACAGGCTGTCAAGGAAAGGAAATGACTGCACAGCGGGCTGCAGGCGCCGAGTTCCCCTGCCTTCTGGCTCACCCCCCCCTGAGCCCCGGCATCCTTTGGGGGAGAGAGGAAGGTCCTGTCCCTTTAAAATCCACCCTCCTCCTCGCATGGGCACACACCGTCCTACCTCCCAGGGCCCACTGCTGCCAGGGTAACGGGATGCCCTGTCGTCAAGGCAACATGGGCTCCAGAGTTAAGGTCAAGCTCCTGTGGCGGGCCTCGGTTCCTCCTCGCTCCCCTGGAGTGGCTGTTCTCCCCCTTTTCTACTCCTACTGTCTACCCTCTCCCTCTCCCTGGCCCCCAGTCCTGAGCCCCTGACCCTCCCCTCCTCTGCCAGCCCCAGGAGGTGGCTCAGCCTCCCATACCACCTGATCCAGTTCCGTTCAGTGAGTGAGACCTGGCCCAACCTCCACAGGCCTCTCCCAACACCCTCCTCTAACACTTACAGCTGCCACCTTCTTGGTGGCCCCAGGCCCTGCCCTCCACCCACCTGGCCTGTCCCTTCCCTGCTCTGACCTGGGCACTTGTAGAGCTTGCGGGCCTGGGCGATGTCCCCCTTGCTRAGCCGGGTCCTTTGGCCAATGGGAGGCTTCACCCCATTCACCTCGTACTTGGGAACGATGGTGTCCAGGAAGATACCCCTGGGAGGAAATGGAGAGAGTGAGTGCRAATCCACTGGAAGGCAGGTGAGGAAGGAGAGGTGGCTGGCCAGTGTGCCCCCACGGGTCACGACCCTGCCAGAGCCCAGACATTCCTCGGCAGGGTCAGGGACGGGTGGAGATGTCTCACCCTGTCATTAAGCTGCCCACTGACCAGCAGCCACCCTGCCCCGTGGCAGCCATACCACAGGAACTGGTATGCTTTGGGAGGTCAGAGACCCAGTCCAATGATGCCCTGGGGACCCTCCAGGTGCCCCAGCCTCAGAAGAGCTGCAGGCCCTAATCCATCCTGTGGGCATCTCTGCAGCCCCACCCAGCTCCTGTGGCCCCTCAGCCCCTCAGGCTGATTCAGCCCCTGGGAACTTCCCCTGATTCACTACCAGGGCCAACTCTTCACCCTGACAACAGGGCGTTGTCTGAAAGCACCTGGAGCGAGGCCAAAGGGCAAGGGCAGGTTCCACCGTGGCCAGCCCAGACCACAGGACAGTCCCACCAACTCCCAATCCACCAGTGTCCCTGTCCTCCAGTTCCCGGTAGCTGAACCCCGGGTGTGGGAGGAGCAGAAGGAAGGAGGAGCAGGCAGCCGGCCTCCCCAGGGCCCCTGACTCACACCCAGCTGGGCAGATCGCAGCAGGGGGTGGGGATGCAGAGGGTCTGTGGGTGTGGAGGGCAGAGTGACCTCACTACTCCTCCCTGGCCTCTGTTCCCTCAGGTCTGGAGGCAGGAGAAGTGTGTCTAGAAGGAGCTCTGAGAAGAGGGGGGAAGGGCCAACCCCTGGACAGGGGATGAGGAAAGAGCCAGGCTTGGGAAAGGCCAGTCCGGGAAGGCCCATGAGGAGGGAGGGGTCACTTCCCACGCTCAGTGAGGGGAGGCTGGGCCACCCCTAAGGGGCTCTGGCTGTGTCTTCTGGGAACCAGGGCAGGGTAAGGAGGGTGTCTTGTGAGCTGGAGGTGGGGGCTGGTCCAGGGCGGAAGCCAGGTGTGCTCAGTGACAGGCAAAGAGCCTGGGCTGGGCCATCACCCACGTGGCTGCAGGCACCCAGAGCACTCCCTTGCCCTTGAGGCCTGCAGCAGAGGGTGGGCCAGTGCAAAGCAGGAGGTGAAAAGGAAMCGGCTTCCAGAAGGCTGGGCTGGGCGGCTCCACAGGAGGTCCAGCCCATCTCTCACCTGGAGAAGGTATTCCGGGCGTAGTGCATGATACTGTCAAAATCATACGTCTCCCCCAGAGACTCCACTTCCTGGATCTCCATCTTCAGGAAGTTATACTCCTGCCCTGCGAAGACCAGGAAAAGGGGGTCGGGGAGGCAGGAGCCTGTGTCCTCCCTGTACCGGCTGAAGGCCCCCTACCTGAGGGCCTGGGGAGTGGCCAAGGGAAGCCTGGGGGTGGGGAGGCTCTGCAGAAGAGTCCTATTCAGAGAGAAGCCAGTGAATGGAGGGACCTACTGGAAGTGGGCCCAAGGAACTATGGGAAGGGACCAGTGGATTAGAGAATGTCTGGCGGACAGAGCCGGTAGGCGGGAGGGGACAGGAGAGGGAGGCTGAGGAAAACAGGGAAGAAAACCCTAGAAGACAGAACTGGCAGAGGGCAGGAGACGTGGAAAAGTGAAGGAGAAGGCCTGCAGGAGCATCCAGGCCTGGGCTGCTGCTACCCCCCCCCCCAGCTGAACCTGCCTTGAGCAGATGCCTGGAGGGAGGTCCCGACCCAGGCCATGGGCAGCAGGTGCAGCTTCCACCCAAAAGGGGACCCAGAGGTGGGGCTGGGGCAGGAGGTGCTTCCTACCTGGCTGGATGTTCTCTCGCACAATGGAGACGTGGCGGTCCCGGTCGGGCCTTGTGTGCTCGTGCCAGAAGCCGATGACGTGGCCTAGCTCRTGGACCACAATGCCGAACTTGTCACAGTTCTTGCCGATGGAGATGGCCTGGGGGCCCCCACCACGGCGACCCACGTAGGAGCAGCACCTGGAGGGCGGGGCCAGCTCAGGGGGGCGGTCCCGAGCTGGGGGAGTGCATCCACTCAGGGGCCGGGCCAGGCTGCCAGGTTGGCAGGGGAGTGGAAGGGTGGAGGGGTCCCTGAGCACCCAATGCCCAGGCTGTGTGCCAGGGTCACAACAACAGGGAGATGCCCCATGGTGGGAGGGGATTGGCGCACCAGGGCAGTGCCCAGTTGAGGGCAGTAGCAGAGCCCAGGGCAGAACCTGGGGGAGGGTCATAGCCAAGAGTGCAGTGCCCGTGGGTCCCTGCTCACCCGCAGGGTCGATAGGTGAACACAATATAGCTGTCCTCGTCGGTGCGCTCCAAGAAGGTGACACAGGTGTGCTTCTCCCAGTGCCTCATGGCCTGCCGGAAGACCGCTCTCTGGCTGCCTGCCGGGAGGAAGGAAGCCAGGCTATCACGGTGCCCAGGTGGCCCACTTCCACGCACTGCTAGAGCGTACCAGCCATACTGAGAGCACACTGCCACAGACAGGCCAAAGTAGCAAGGCCAGGGCCGGATGCAGGCTGTGCCTGGGCCCCACAGCAGCCCACTCACCAGTGAAGTTTCCCCCGATGACAAAGGGGATGACCCCATCAGGCCACACACGTTCTGGTCTGGAGGTTGCTGCCCGCCGGCTCCGGGGCCTGCCTCTCCATCTCCCCTGGGATTCCCTCTGAGGCTGCCCACTAGCTCCCTGGCAGCCAGGGGCAGAAGAGTTTCCTGGAATTAAAAGAGGAAAGGCTTTGGCAGCAGGTGGGTGGAGCAGAGGGAGGAGACAAAGCCCAGCAGGGCCCCCTTAGTTGTGGATTCTGTATCTGTGAATTTGCCTACCTGCTAAAATTCATTTGTAACCCCCAAATCAACTCTCAGGCTTTCACGGTCACTCGTGGCCAAGCACAGAGCAGGGTAAAAGTTCTTACCCAGCGTGTGCATTCCCTGCTAAGGCTGACCAGGGTGACGCTTTGTTTCAGCTCCCCTACTATAAACAAGTGTCCTTTTTAAGGTTTATTGAGTGCCATGTTTCTTTGCATTTTGGTGCATCTTGTAGATGATTTTGCTGTTTAAAATGGTTCTCAAGTGTAATATAAAGTGCTATCTCATGTCCCCAAGGGCAAGAAGGCTGGGAAGTGTTCTACAGAGAAATGCATGTGTTAGATAAATTTATTCAGGCCTGAGTCAGTGCTGTTGGCTGTGAGTTCATGAATCAACTATGTATTAAATAAGGTGTCTTTAAATGAAATACACATAAGACAAGGTCATGTGGTGACCAGTTTAAAAAAATGTGACCAGAACCTGGCAGAGCCCACGTTTCCCCTGGAGCAATGATTCAGTATTCTCTAATTCAGTGTTTTCAGTGACTACACAGAATACAAAGTTCTACAATTACGGTGAAGTTATGCTATAACTATTCATAACTACCATCAATGGCAAGAATGGCTATGATTGCAAAGGAGATCAGTAATGTATTCATTTCCTAGGAACTCTAAGGACCTAGGGGATCTGAGATTTGGAAAATGTCCCTTCTCATCTAACAAAACCTGAAATTCATGGAGCATATGAAACTTCATGTTTTCTCTAAGTTTCTCAGGGTCACATTTTCATGTGACATCACAGCATTATGGGATGGGGCAAGTGCCATTACCTACATCTGACATATGAGGAAACTGAAGCCAAAGCTTTGCCCAAAGTCACCTCATGAGTTGGCTTTGTGTGGCTTTCCCCTGCACCATTCTTACTAGTCTCCGCTAAAGTTATATAAGCCTCCCTTGTCACCAGGCCACCAGGTCACTCTCTGATGCCAGTTGCCCTCTGGGTTAGTTGACCCTTACTCCTAGGTTGCCCACACTAAGATCCTCGCTCCTGCTAGACAGGATGACTGCTGGGCAGACCCCTGCTAGGCATCTCCACCCTTGGGCTGTCGGGACCTGCCCCAGGCCACCTGCAGCACAGCAGTGACAAGCCGCTGCCCCTCCATAGATCAGTAAGAAGGCTGAGAAGAGCCAACTCAGCCCTGGTCCTCAGTCCTCCGTTGCCCCTCTCCACATACAAGTGCCACAGGAGTTGGTAGGTGCTTGGGTCACCAGGGAGGAGAGACCATCCCTGACCTTGAGGATTGTAGGTCCAGCTGGGGAGATGAGACGTGGAAGCAATTCCCATGTGGCATGGAGAGATACTAACAACCCAGGTACCGAGCAGGAAGGGCACAGAACGTGGAGGCGCACCATCACGTCTAGGAGACGGTTGGAAAAGTCATGAATGAAGCTCCTGAGAAGGGCCCCAGAGAATGCTGGGCAGTGGGACCAGCAGGCCCAGGGGATTACTGTGTTGGGCACAGCGGCTCAGATTTGGAGAGAGAAGGATGGGTTCTAGTCTCAGCTCTGCCACCAACAAGCTATGTGATCTTGGGCAAGTTTGCTTTACTCTCTGAGTTTAAACCAGGAGTTGTCCTGACAGACACCTCTGAAGGTAGTTGGGGAAGTCAAGTTAGACAACACCTCTGAAAGTACTTTGTAAGCTGTAAGCAGGAAGCTGGGGGCTCTTAGGTCCTGGGTATGGCCACACTTCCTACTCCTCCTGCGGAAGGATAAAGATATTCCAAAGGAAGACAAGCCCATGCGCTGGGATCAAGTTCATGGCCTCTGAGCCGGAAGGCTCTGGCTGGGAACAGGGGGATCCCTTGTTTCCCCAAGTCTGGAACCCATTTCTGGGACACAGAGGGCTGGCCTGTACCTGCTGTTTTGATGGACGACCTACGGGCCATGCGTGGCCTGAAATCTGCAGCCCGCTGCACCTGGAAGGCCCTCAAGTCCTCCTCGTCCAGGGCAATGTCCCCAAGAAAGGCAACTAAAGAAAAAAAGAAGAGGTCAAGGGCTGAGTTAGTTCTCTTACCTGGGACTGGGTGCAGCATGTGATAGCCCTGACCCGTGGGCACACCCGCCCAGTCCCCACAGCAACTCCGACCCTCAAATGCCACTGGAGGAGAAAAACAAGGGCAGTGACAGATCAGCTTCTAGAATCTCTTGTGAGATCATGCTCAGTTTTAGCTAAAAGACCAGCAACAGCAGGGCAGGAGATACACACCATGGTTGTACAAGGCAGAAGGACCACAGAGCCCAGGGATTTGGAGAACAGCCTGGGCAACAGGGCAAGCCCTATCTCCAAAAAGAAAAAGGGCTGGGAGTGTAAGTCAGTGGCACTGTGCCCGCCTGGCATGCACGATGACCCAGCACCACAAAAAATAAAACAATAAAATAAAATCCTGGCAAAATGGATACCAACCCCTACCAGGCTGTGATCTCCACAAGGACACAGTGTGTCATTTATTCCTTCATTCTTCAGTCAACACTCAGCACCTGGGTCAGGCACTAGCCAATGATTAGCAAGACAGAGCAGTAGCCCGCCTTCTATAACCCACAAGTGCCTAGATACTGACTTAGAGAATTGCAGACGGTTTGGAGCACAGTGCTCTGGAGAAAATACACTGGGGCAGGATGGTAGCATCTATACTATGGTCTGCATAAATGCACTCCCAGAGGTCCCTGTGCTAAAGGCTGTTGGTACCCAAGGAGGTGCTAAAGGGAGGTGCTTTGGGCCTTTAGGGGTGGGCCCTTAAGGGAGGCCATTAGGTCATTAGGGGTGTGCCTTTACAGGGGACTATGGGCTGTCCCTTCCTTTTCTCCTTGCCTCCTAACTGATGAGGTGAGCAGTTTTGCTCTGCCACATTCTTCTGCCATGACGTGCTGCTGCCCTCATCAGAGGCCCAAAACAATGTCCTCCACCGTCTTATACTAGAAACACCAGAACCAAGAACCAAATGAACCTATTTTCTAAGTCATTTATCTGGACTATTTTGTTATAGTATCAGAAAGCTGACTAACAGAGTCTGTTTGTATGCTCATAACTTTGGCACTGTGCCAAGCATGTGGTGTTCACACAGCAGATGCCATTTCAATCAAATAAAGGAGAGGACATGAATTATAATACAATGCAATAAGAACTGGGGCAGGTAGACACACTGGGAGTTTCCCAGCTGGCAAGAAAGGGTTAACAGTTCTCAAGTGATTCCCGTTCTCAGTCCCCTCTCTGGAGAAGAAAGGCCCAGAGGAAGAGACCCCYCCTCCCCCAACAGGCCATTTTGATTTCTGGTGTTGGGAAGAGACGTTTCTGGAGTCATGGGCTGAGCTGCCTGTGTTCTTTTTTTTAGTTATACATGGGCACAATATCTTTATTTTGTTTATTTATTTTTACGTGGTGCTGAGGATCAAACCCGGGTCTCACACATGGGAGGCGAGTGCTCTACCGCTGAGCCACAACCCCAGCGCCCCCGCCTGTGTTCTTTTTTGAGAAGTCTAGAGCAAGAGGAAGCAGAAGCCATAGAACTGGCCACTCTGAAGGAGCCCAGCTGTGAGCTTCACAAGGGCTGGGCTAAAGCCAGGGGTGCGAGTCGGAGGTGCAACCAGAGCAGCTTCCCTGTGGCCCCGCCCATGGTGACATCTGCTTCTCATCCCGTTGGAGCACTGCACAGGCCAGGCGGTCAGCATTACACAAATTGTTTTAACCTTGAGGCCTTACACACAGGTCTCTCCTCCCCAGCTGGCCCCACTGGGTGGACACATATACAGTTACTTCATCACACAGAGAATCAGACACATGTGGTTAGTGTTCCAATGAACATATGGTGACATTCACACCCTTGCTGTCAAATGCAGAGCCATCAAGGTCAGACACATAGGTCCCTGCACGCGCAAGTGGTGCCCAGCACGGGCCTTTGGGTGGAAAGCATTCAGCGATGCTTTTTTGAATGAATGAAGCACCACGCCAGTGTTCTGACCTGCAGATACATGCCAAAGACACATACTCCCTGAGACACAGATCAACAGAATGTGGGACTGACTAGCAGTCACCTAGCCAATCATCCATTTTACAGGGAAGGAAACTGAGGCCCAGAAGGGAGCAGATTTAACTGAGACCTTGTTGCTGGTTGCCAGAAAGGCTGGATCCTGTAATAAGGCTCCCCATCCCCAGTCCGGGGATTGCTGCACTCAAGTTCATTACCTCCCTAGAACCCAAACCGTAAGTACACATCCACAAAAATAGCCACTCYCTAGAAACACACATCCACAAAAAAATACAGACTCACAGATAGTCCTAAAAAACACACAGGCGCAAGCTCCAACATACACAAACCAGCAGCGTGCTCTGAACTCACTAAGTCAGTAATAGTAGCTGTAATGACTCCTTATGTAAATGTCTGTTGAAACTACGATGTGCTTTCACATTAATGAGTTCATTTAATCCCGGCCCACCCACAACACGCCCAGTAAGCCACACTCCATCTCYGGCTTTTGCCTAGGAGTGTCCCATTACAAACACTGGAGAGATAAACTTGTGGCCAGATGCCAGCCCACCTCCCTTGCTGCAGAGATCCAAACACTGGGTCTGAGAAGGCACCTGCTTATAACTGGCCCAGATCTCTTCCAGCCCCTGAGAAAGTTTCTGTCACCCAACAGCCTTCCTCTGTGGCTTTGGCTTAGCAACAGAAGATGCTTCTAAGCTGACATGCAAGAGTGGCCTCAATAAGGATTTGGGATAGATGGTATGATCTAGGGAGGTGGCARCACATTCATACATGCCAGCATCACCCGGGTGTGCATGTACCACATGAACACCCCTACATTTTTGCATGATTTGCACCTTTGCACACACACTGCACATCCAGGCTTCCACATCCATACCCAGGGGCATTACCACACACAGTTATCCTCCGGGGATTCATCCAGGATCCCACAGATACTTGAACCTGCGGATGCTCAAGTTTCTTATATACAATGCTGTAGTTTCTGCACAGAACCTACCCACAGTCTCCTGTGTACTTAAGATCATCTCTGGATGACTTGTAATACGTAACAATGTAAATACCATGTAAGTAGTTGTCATACTGTATTATTTAAGGAATAATAACAAGAAAAATGTCTGTACATGCTCAATACAGACAACTTTTTTTTTCCCAAATATTTTTGATCCATGGTTGTCTGAACCCATGGATGTGGAGCTATGATACAGAGGGCAACTGGACTCATGTGGTTGGACTTTCAGATTGACTTTACATTGTCATTAAAGAGCAAGGTCTTTGGAGTCAGACAGACCTGTCTTTGACTCCCAGTTCACTACTCCTAGCCAATGTCATTGTAAGTTCTGCTAAACCTCAATATTCTCTATAAAAGAAGGGACTAATGATAGAATCCTGCATGCAGAAACCAAGCCATGCAAATGAGGCTCCTAGAACAGAATCTAGAGCACAGTTAGCATCTACTAACTGGTCAATGCCACCTCAATGCCAACCCCAGAAGCTCAAGGTCAGCTTTACACCTTCCCTGGGCATACTGGTCCCCAACACTTGCACCCCAATTGAGAGAAACCCAAGGACAGAAGCCACAGAACCTTGCTAGCATATGGGACCAGGACGGTGTGGACCTGGGGTAGGGCAAGTAGAAGGAGGAACAGGGCCCAGCTGTGGTGCTCAGCAGGGAGCAGGCGCCCTGTGGTGGGAATGTCATGGCTGAAGAATGCGTGGGAACCCAGTCGGGGTGGGGGTAGGGGCGAGGTGGCCAGGAGAGCCTTATGGCCAATAGCCAGGCCTGAGGGCCTACCCATTTGGGATCCCAACCTGGGAAGCTAGGGAATCTGGAGGCCAGAGAGTCCAGGATGCCCCTCCTGACCAAAAGGAAGCCCAGGGGTCAGGGTCAGGATATTAATTGTTTTCAAACAGGATCAAAAGTTTTTGTTTTGTTTTCTGGCTGTAAACCAGACAGGAGCACTGGTAGCTCTCCATAGCCAGGCTGGGAACAGAAAAAGGGACAGAGCAACATCCATGTGCCTGGACCGGGGGAGGAACTTTGTCCCCAAGGTGAGCTCTGGATTCCGAATCCCCTCACCCAGGGCACAGCAAGGCCATCTCTTCTGTGGGGGCAGGAGAGAAACCTGGCTGGTGTGATGGAGACCTAAAGCCATAGGTGCAGGACAGGACAGACTTCTAGGTGGGGGAGGACACACTGAGGGGACCCCTAAATATGCAAATGAACTTCATCACCTGTCTACTTGCCAACAGGAGCACATTTACACTTGTGCTTACTCAGGAATCAAACACACACAGGTGAACAGACCCACTTTAAAGCAAGGACACAAACAAATGTGCACAATCAGCCACTTCCCTGTGCAAGTTCTAACTGCAGGTGTGTACTCCATTCACAGGCCACACTCTCCAAAGGAGAAGGGTGCCCTAGAAATGCATGGGGTGCACACATGTGTGAGAGAGGGAGATTAGCTGAGCCCTCTCAGTATAGATATCCTTCCTTAGGAGGTCCACAGTGGCCTGGGGAGTGGCCATTCCATCCCTCCCCTGTCACCCTCCCCCAATACTTTCTCCCTCAATCTCTGGAGTCTAATCCTGAGGAATGCCTTCTTCCTGAGGAATCTCACTAGTCCCCTCCATCCAGAGCCCAGGGAATAGTCTTCCTCTTCCCTTGGGGCACTTAAAAGAGAGGGTGACTCAGAAAGTAGAGGCTTAGGTGGGTGGGTGACTCAGTGTGTCTGGAAGGCGGGATGTGGTCTTCTGACAGAGGAGACCGTGCTCACAACCTACATCCCACCCCCAAGACACCCTAAAGTCCACAGCTGGGCCACAAGGCCACTAGGGCAAGGGTGGTGGTGAGCGCTGGGGGAGCTGCTGCCCACTGCACCTCCCCCAGACCTCCAAGCTGCCAGCTGAGGTCAGGGTGGAAGCAAGGGCCTCCCTGGCTCAGGGTCAGGTCCCATGGACTTCTCTGCTTGTGGGATGAACTATGCCCCAATTTCTGCCTCCAACTCCTCTCCCAGATCCCTGAGGGTCACTGGCAATGTTGGGAATTGTAGAGAAGGACCCCTTTGATGTTTAGCATCCCAATATACAAGAGATCAGGGCTGCCTCAAATCTCCCTGGGCAAGGGTTAGAGAGCAGGCTCGAGGAAACTGCTCTGAGCACACCAACAGACCAGCCTAGTTTCTTGTCCACTGTACGATGCTGCACAGAAGGTCCAGGAACTTCTCCAGGGTATCAAGGGCCTTAATTTTGCCCTTACTGCAATAGCAACCATAACTCAAACAGCAACTGTCAGAGGTGACTTCAAATGAAACTTCAAATGACAGAGCCTGGTTATCCTCAGAGCAATCTAAGAGATCACAGGTAGGCTGTGGGAGTCAAAGGGGTATGAATTTCATGGCTGGTCCTCAGTGCAAGTGAGGCAGACGAAGGAGGAGGAGAGAGCTGGGGAGGGTGGAGCAAAAAGAGGTAAGCAGGGCCACCAGCCACATTCAAAGGAAGTAGAGGCCAGTGCCTGCCAGTCGCCTCCGCATCTTGGAGCCTGGATGCAAAAGGGCCAAGAAGCCAGGCCAGGCAGGAGGAGACAGCACGGAGAGGGCAGCCGGGGGACCCACAGCTCGGGGGTGGCAGGCCAGGCTCGACAGAGGTGTGTGTGTTTCCAGGAACTAGAATCCAATTTCCTCCAGGGGTGGGCCATGGGACTTGAGCATCAGTCACACCCAAGAGGGAGGCCTGATCTGACCTTGAAGCTTGGCCCTGTCAGGCTCTCGGGCCCTCTCGGCCACCCCCAAGCCTGGCCCAGCTCCCCACCAGCCTCAATTCACCCTGGTGGAGAACTTTCTCCAGAGCCCTTGTTTGAAGTTCCAACTTAGTCAGCCCCACCCTAGCATGAAATCTGAGACTGAGGATACAGCCCTCAGCCTCTTGCTGTTCCCAAAATCACTCCCATTTCCAACATCAGCATGGCTTCCTACCCATTCTTTGAGGCCTCCCCTCCCCCACCCCTGCCCCAGCTTCTCCATGAAGGCTCCACAGACCTTCCCAGGCCCCTCCAATCACTTTGCAGTCCCCATCATCAGGGCTACAGAGGGAGCAAGGRGCCTCCTATCCTCCAGTATGGCACTTCACATACCTTGGGTGGTGCTATTGGTTATGTCTGTGAACTCTTGGCCCCTGCTGGACYGTAAGACCCTTGAAGGCAAGGGCCTAACTGGCACCTCTCTGTACCTCCCACAACATCCAGCCTGGGACATGTTAGGCATCAGGAATGTAGCATTGAATGGGGAAGGGACAAAAGGCTGGTGTCAAGGAGACATTACTTTTTCCTAAAAACCAAGATCATTCCCCCTAAAAAATATATTTATTTTAAAATGAAGTGGGAGTCAGAGGCACAAAACACAGGGGATTAGGAAGCCAACATTTTAGTGCTTACTATGTGGTAAGTGATAATACGTTCTCAGATTTAGTCTTTTCCAGCAGCTCGATGGAGAGATATATTAACGGTCCCATTTTACAGGTGAGAAAACCAAAGGTCAGAGATGATAGTCACCTTTCCCAAAAAGGAGAGCTAATGAGTCCATGATTGAAAACTAGCTCTGCTTGCCTCCTGAGCCCATGACCTATCCACTCTGCCTCCTCTTCACCCCATGCACCTAGCAAGAAAGATGATAGCTCACATCCCAGCTTGCCCACAGCCAGCAGATATGGAGGAAGAAGGTCTCCCATTCCACCCTAAGTGAGGAGAGAGAGGGCAAGGAGTGTGCCCSACCAGGATTCCAGGGCCAGGGCTAGAGTGGCCTGCCCCCACCCATCCCCTTGTTTACAGTTCCAGGAACCATGACCCTGGCCCTGGCTATTTAGAGACAGGCCAAAGACAGAGGCAGGAAATCGAGGAAAAATTCTGATATCTCATCCCCTGAGCATTCCAGGCAGCCTATTCAGGGTCAKCCCATCAGGCCAATGGCCTGAGTGCCCGGCCATCTGGTCACTCCAGGGGCAGGACTCTTCTGGTCCCAGAAGTAGTAAAGGGGTTACAGAGGGTCCTCATGGACAATGCACATTCTTTCTCTCTCTCTCGGCCCTGACCTCACCTAATTGGCCTCTGCTGTATGTAGGGTAAGAAGGCTGATGCAGAATATCTGAGTTCTCTTTGTGTGTCCTCTTTTCCACCCCATCTTGGCCTTGGCAGGGCCCTCTTGGCACACAGGGACACAGGTATGTCCCCTCCTTCTCTGACTTTGACAGCTGTCTCCTGAGTCCCAGAAAGCTGTTGCTGCTGGCTAAGACCAAAGGCTAGGAGAAAGATCCCACAGAATCCCTGGAAAACTTTACTCTTCCCCTTGGAATGGGGTGGCGGCTGGGAGACCTATTCCTTGGAGCTGCAGGCCTCCAGGCACCAACCTAGACAGATGTGCAGCCTGGGGGGGGGGGGAGACGGACAGACAGGCTGGCAAACACCAGTGTTCCGCAGAGCTGGAGGGATGGGGGAGAAGGGAAAAGAACGCGTGCGCGCACACACACACACATACACACACACACACACACACACACACACACACTCAGAGTTTGACCAGAAAAGTTTCCTGCAGAAGGAAACCTCCCTGCCCGCGGGATTCTCTCGGACCCAGGGAGATTTCCCCAGGAACCCTCTGGGAGGGCAAGAGGCAGCAGCAGCGCCGTCCACCAACAGCAGCAAAACTTCAGTCCTAAAAGTCCCCCAAACTTCCCCCTCCCTCTTTCCCTCGTTCTTTTGTTCCCCACTGCATTGCCAACCAGGCAGCTCCCGGCTTCCCACACTGGACAGTCCTCCCCCAACCCCAAACCCTACCCGGCCGGGCCTGCCCGCACCCGGCTCCGCGCGCCCCGGCTGGCCGCGGGGGGCTGGGGGGCGCTTACCCGCCTTGCAGGGGTCTTTGTAGTTGAGAGGCTCCGGGGCGTCCTCCTCTCCCAGGTCGTAGGTGTAGTCGGCCAAGTCCAGCGGCCGGCCGGGGCGCGGGAGCAGCAGCAGCAGCAGCAGCCGGAGCAGCAGCGGCAGCGGCGGGCGGGCCACACCGGGCATGCTGGCGGGCGGTGGCGGCGGGTCGCACCCGGACGCGGGAGCGGCGGCGGGGAACCGAGCTCTGGCGGCGAGGAGGAGGCGCTCCCGGCGGCTGGCCGCCCGCTGGCTCCCGCTCCCCCCGCGCTGCCTACCTCTTCCCTTCCCGCTTCCTGTCTCCCGCCCCCCGCTCGCAGCGGCTCGCGCTCGCCCTGCTCCGCGGCTCCCTCGCCCTTCCCTGCGCTCGCTCCTTTCTCTCCCCCCCGCCTTAGGGAAATGAGCGCGCTGGAGGGCGGGTTTTCGCCCGAGCTCGGCCCCCCTCGGGGCCGGGACTGTGCTCGGCCCGGCCGGGAAGCGCGCCAGCCCGGGCGGGGAGGGCAGGGAGCCGCGCCGCCCGCCCGGGAGGGGCGCGGGGCCGGGGCCGGGGCCGGGGAGGGGGCGCCGGCGCCCGGGGTGCCCGGCCGGCCGCCGCTCCCGCCAGGGGCCCCCTAGCGGCGACTTGCCCCGCGGCCGGCGGCCCGAGCCCCTCCCGGCGGCGGGACACGCTGTCAGGACTCTCCGCCACCTCAGCCTCTGTCCCTCCGTCTGCGATCGTGGTCTGGCCGGCATCTCTCGTCTCTCCCTCCCTCCGACCCTCGCTCTCTCCCATCTCGCCCTCTCTTTCGGTCTCTCTCGCYGTCTCTGTCTCTGCCCCTCCCTCCGGACACACCACTGGAGGGCGCCTCACGCCCGTGGATGGCTCCCGGGTCCCTTCCCCACTGCCCCCTCTCCCCAATCTGGGATGGACTGAGTCCCCAACATTCTTGGGACAGAGGAGACACGGCAAAACCCCGACTGTTCCCCCAAGGCCCTCCTCATCTCCGAGCCGGCCCCAGCACTCTGGACTTCGAAGGTGTCGGAAGGTACAAGTTGGACCCTTTGTTTTTCAATCAGTTGCTTTATTCTTTTGTGATAGGAATCCCCCGGCCCAGAGGAACCATCTCTCCCCCATACACCCCCCCACACACCCCACACCCTCGCTCCCGTTTCTCCAGGGTCAGACCCTGGGCTGTGAACCAGAGCAGCTTCTCCCCTTTGCTTGCAGATCTTTCCTGCCTGGTTCACTCCCACAGATCCTGTGAAGCAACAGCGTTGTTTATCATGTGTGAGAGAGAGCCCCAGGGGTGCCCACGCCTATGTCTTGTGAGCCTTCCCTCCCCTGAGCTCCCTGGACCACTGGTTTCTGGGCATCCCCAGTGTCTGGACAGCTGACATGTCCCAAGACCTTCCCGCTGCTGCTCAGTGCCCTGGCAGCCACAGTTGCTCACCTGGAAGTCCTAGATATAGTAGAGAGGCACCTCTCCACACAGGGTGCTCACCGCCAGGCCCAGGAAGGCCAGGTCTCCTCCTGAGGAAGCAGAGCCTCCCTCATGCCCCTCCTCCTGGCCCAGCTTAGGGTTTGCAGGTTTGGCCTGAAAAGAGAACCTACTTTGGAATCTGAAAACTGAGTTTCTTTCTCATCATGCAGCCCTTTTGGGGGACCCCAGGCATGTTGGGCAGCCTCCCTAAGCCTCAGTTTCCCCACAAGTATAGTACCAGAAGTCAGAAGCCCACGGGGAGTATGTGGGCTCAGCTGAGGTCAGTACCCTGACCGTGGGCAGCTAAGGACAGGAGGGAAGCTATGGTGCTGGTTGAGGGTATAAAGGTTCACTTACCTGGCAGCCCAAGAGAAGCCGTGCTTTACRGGTGACAAATAGCTGTCACCTTAAACACTCCTCCCTGCAGTGCTGGGAGGGAGACAGACCACTCCTTTCACCTACACACCTACCTGTAGATTCTGGAACTTTCTAGTGAGAGCCTCAAGACTGGGGATGTTATCTGGAGCCATCTTCATGATGTAGCAGTAGGTTCCTGGGGCTGGCTTATAGGCAGTCAGGAGCTGGGCATGGAATGCTAGAGGTCATTTGGGAAAGTCCCTGCCTCGCTGGCTCCCTAACCCCGGTCCTCAGCCAGCTCACTCTAGACAGCACATAGGGAGTCACATTGGAGTCTGGGATTCAGGCACCCCAGGGAGGCAAAAGGGCTAAGGGAGAGGGAGAGATGGGTGCAGTGAAGTAGCACAGCTGGTTGGCTCTAGCAAAGTCTTGTCACTGGTTCCCTGGACTGGCGTACCCACCCGCTGGTAGTCATACACGATGATGCCAGTGGAGCCGATGGAGAAGGTGGCAGTGGTACCCGCATGCTTACTCAGGGCCAGGCGTTGCTGGGCTTCTGGTGCCCCAATGCTCATCTCRAGGACCTGGGGTTATAGTGTGGCATGACAGTCTTCTTTCCCCTCTCGGCCCTTCAGCACCCTTGCCTATCCTCAGGTTCCTTCACTCAAAAAAGAAATTCCTTCTTTCCTGAGAGCTCAGGGAAGGTGAGTAGAACCAGGTGCTAGAGAGAGGGAACTGGCTGTCACACTGGGGGACAGGAGCCTGCTGGAAATGGCTAGGTCAGGTGTCACCCATTCCCGTCTCTGTCCTTGCCTGCTCCCCACCACTCCCCTGGGTGATTTCCTATGTGCCCAMCCCACGCAGCCCCTCTGACCTGCCCTGTGCCCGCTGCTCACCCCATCCCAGGCCTGCTCACCATCTCAGTATGTTTCTGGCTCATGTGAAGACCCATAAGCAGGGCCCCTACAATCACCACAACGACAAGGACCACCACCACAACCACGATGAGAAGGCGCTTGAGGTTCACTGGGCAGCAGGGGATGCGGAACTGGCCCCGGGGGCCTGCTGAGTAGTCCTGACAAGATGGCAGGCAGGGAGAAAAGTGTGAGGTCATGAGGATGTCCCCTCCCTGCCCTGCACAAACTGGACACACTCCCATGCCCTCTCAGGGCTGGACAGCCAGTGCTGTGGATCTACACAGGAGGCTGAGATCAGAGGAGCCTGCTGGGATGAGGTGGCCCGCACTCCAACAAGCCCAGGTTAGAAGGGACACAAGAGAGCCTGGCTTGCTGATACTTCCTCTAGACTCCCCAGAACCCCAGTTGTGGCAACCTCTGTTCCCCAATGATCCAGGCTCTTGCACCTCCAGGCCTTTATCCATGCTACTACTTCTTCCTGCCGCTACTCCCTCCTATGATCTCCCAAGTACTTMGTGGCTCTTCTCAGTGCTCTCTAGAGCCCTTTCCGATGACCCCTATGGCGGCTCCCAGCCCCTTTTTATCGGAATTGTGGGCTTCCTTGTCTCTCTCCCCCAAGGACTCTGTGCCAGTGGTCTTGGTGTTCCCACCCTAACTTAGCACGGTCCTAGGCGGGTTGAGTGAATGAACATGAATGAAGAAACAGACCCAGGAAGGATGGAGGAGGCGGAACCCAGAACACATCTGTGCACACAACCACCCCCACTCACACAGCTGGTCACACTCACCGGTGGGCTCTCCATCAAGACCTCCTTGCCGCCTGCATCCATCTTGCTGCAGGCCTTCTCCTCTCCTCACCTCGCAGTTGGGACCAGGGTCTTATATGTGTCCCACAGGGAGAGGGGACAGAAGTGAAGGGCCGGGTCCCCTGTTTGCRAGCCAAGCCCCCGGCTTTGAAGCCTGTTTGTTCCTGGCCCTCCAGAGCCAAGGTCCTGATAAGCCAGCTGCAAGAGCCCCCAAGGGCCCTTATGCCTGGCACATGAGTCCTCTTGGCCCCAGCAAGAGCAAACCTGGGTGAGCTGAGCAAACTTGCCCTGAGGCCACCTGCACCTCTTGCCGTGGGTGTCTTCCTGGCGTCCAGCCTTTCTTGCTGGCACCTGCCCATACAGCCCTGTGCTTCCCTTCTGTCTGCTGCCAGAGTGAACTTCTCCCAGCTAAGGGTCCCAGTTCCCAACAGAATTTCCCCGAGCGTAGTGATGGGCTCCAGAAAGCGGGCACAGGAGGCGGTGCAGGAGACCCAGAGGGGCTCTGCTGAAGGTAGGAGGGGCTTTGACATCAGTTGGAGTGTCCATCAATGTGCATTTCTCTAAGGGCTGAATTCCTGTTTGCTTTGCCTGCCATCTCCCACACATCCCGCACCTAACCTCAGACCGGCYCCCAGTCATTCATCTCCTAATTCTGGAGAATCTGTCCCCACTGGTGGAAAACTCTTCGTGGGGATGGGGCGGGGGTTATTCTTTGCTCTGGGCTKGTCTGTAAGCTGCAAGCTTCTGATGACAGATTGCATGCCTGACACTGCTTTCCTAGGCCAGGACATCCTTGTACAGGGCTGAGTGTGGTCCCAATCTTTTGTCTTTGAATCGGCCCACACTGCCTGCYGGCTTATCACCCTATCCCTCTGGACTCCTTTTATATCCTTGGATGTTACTCAGCACAGTGAATCTCAAGTCAGAGGCCAGCCTTAGCAACTTAACCAGGCCCTCAGCAGTATAGCAAGACTGTCTCAAAATAAAAAATAAAAAGACCTGGGGATGTGGCTCCACGGTAAAGCAGCCCTAGGTTCAATTCCCAGGACCAAACCAACAAAACTAAATGTCCCCTGAGAGTTGTATGTACCCACATCCCACCCACTTTTCAGACCTCCCTCTCCTTCTCCCTGCCTTACTCTTACCCACTCCTGCTGCTTAGTGCACTAGCTCAATCTATCAGTAACTCGGAGCTGGACTCATTGGAGTTGGCCTCACCCTATCTCTTGGGCTCCCTTCACTTGCTGGGCCAGATGGTCTCTAAAGTCCTTAACTTTCATGAATGTGTGACCCAGAACGCAACACCTCCTTTTCTTGGCCTGACTCTCTTGTCCTCCTACTCAGCAATCCCTCCTGACCCTGCAGATGAGTTCCAGGACCCTCCCCACATATACACCAAATGTGTAGATGCTCAAGTCCCTTATGTAAAATGGCATATAGCATTTGCTTGTAAACTATGTACATCCTCCTGTATACTTTGTTTTTTATKTTTTATTTTTTGGTACTGGAGATTGAACCCAGTGGTGCTTAACCACTGAGCCACATTCCCAGCCCTTTTTTATATTTCATTTAGACACAGAGTCTTCCTGAGTTGCTTAGGGCCTCATTAAGTTGCTGAGGCTGGCTTTGAACTTGCAATCCTCCTGCTTCAGGCTCCCTAGCCACTGGGATTACAGTCAGCCTCCCATATACTTTAAATCATTTCTAGATGACTTATAATACCTAATACAATGTAAATGATATGCAAATAGTTGTTATACTGGATTGCTTAGGGAATAATAACAAGGAAAAAAATCGTACATGTTCAGCCCGGACAGTGTTTTTCTCCCACAAATACTTTCCATCTACTTTTGGTTGAATTGGCAAATGTGAAACCCATGGATACAGAGAACCAGCTGCACTTTAACTCTAAAATGTCACCCAGGTTCCAGGCTCCCTCACACCTTGTCCCTGCCCTTTGGCCAGGAGTTGGCCCCTACTCTTCAGCCCTGGCAGGCTCCCCTGTCCTCAAAGGAATCCCTCTCCAGCTGGAGGGCCTCAGCCTCAAGGTTGTCCAACAGCATGGCATGTGAGCTGAGAGCCCCTGAGCCGCTAGGGGAAGAAGAGAGGGAAGGAARTGTTTGTTCCTACCATGCTCCTCCCACCCCCAACGGCCCCTTTAAATATTTGTCTAAGCTTCCAGCAGAAGAGTATCCTAGGATGAGTGGAGGAAGGGGAGGGGAGAGGAGGGGGAAGGAGAGGGAGGGGGAGCAAGTGTCTTCTTGCTTGGCCTCAGCTGTATGGAGGTGCCAGATGTAGGCGACAGCTCCCCCGCAGTGCCCACCCTGCTGCCCCCCAGGCTTGCTCTCCCGCCCCAGTTGTCCTGGAAACCTTGGGATTGATGGCTGACTCACACGCACTGGGCCCGAGCCAGGTGGGCAGCTTGCCAGGCCAGCAGGAAAGCCAAGGAGAACTGCAGGCATCTCGGGGTCCCTGTGGGCATCTCAGGGGGCCGCAATGTCTGGTAATGGGGATTGCTCTGAGCAGGTGCCGTGAGTAGTGCCGAGAAAAAAGCCTCAGTTCTCTCCCAGGTCCTCTGTTCTGCTGCAGGTTGTAGCTCTCACAGTTTCATGGCTTAAAAAAATAAAATAAAATAAAAAACTTATCTTTGAGGGCTGGGGAAGGGTGCTGTCAAGTTTCATAAATGAAGTTCAGGTGCTGATACCACCTGGTAGAGGTCTCAGGCTCCTTGGAGGAAGAAGTGGGAGGAACATTTAGCTGGTCATCTACAGCCCTCAACCTAGACCCCCAGACCAACCTCTGTCTTCCAGGCCTATTTTTAAGCCATCTGAATGCCACCCACCCTAAAAGGCCAAGAGTCAAGGCACCTGCTCTGTGACCTTGCTGTCCCTCCTCTGAAATCCTCTCACTTCTCTGTTGTACCTTTATCTGCCACTTAGTACCCACATTGGAGCTTTTGTTTGCCCTGTCTTCCCAACCAGGCTGCCCTCCTGGACAGAAAAGAAGCATGCTTTCCTGGTGCTCCTGTGAATCTGCCAAGGACAAGAAGCAAGCACGTAGCCACATGTAATTAATTATATGCAACCACAAGACTGTCACCAGAAGGAGCAGCAGCCTCCTACTGGACAGTCCAGAGTTCTTTCCTTTGATAGGTGGTGGTCTCAGTGCTTCCACTGACAGCTATGAGACTCAGTGAGTCATTCTGCTTTTCTAGGTTTTCATATGTTCATCTGTGAAATGGGACTACTACTGCCTGTCTCCYCTCCCTCCCTAGGTCATTGGAAAGCTCCAATGTCCTCGCTGATGTAAAGTCTAGTCATCATCATTATCATCACCTGCATCATCCCCCAGGGAACCCCTCACTAGCTAAGCAGGACCTAGACTCCTCCTTTGCATCTGTCTCTGGGCTGCCCTCTGAGAGCTCTGGGTGATGGAGAGCCCCATGGTGGCCACCCTTCTGTGTGTGCCTCTCCGTCTCCTCCTCCCAGCTCCTCAGCTGCACGGATTGGGACAAGATTCACTCTGCCCTTTGTGTGCTGGGCAGAGCTGTGCCAGGGACGGGTGGGGATCATTGCCCAGCTGCCCCAGCCACCCTCCCCACCCCCACTGCTTCCCCAGGCTGGCATGGGGACGGCAGCACAGACAGCTGGACACTGCGRCAAGTGGGTGTCAAGGGGCAAGGGCATTCCTGGGTGGAAGAACATGAACCTAAGCTCAGAGCAGAGATATCCACCCTGCTGGCAGAGGTTGAGTTCAGATGGTTCCTACACTGACGTGGACAGAGGACAGAGCTCTCAACTGAAGCCCAGCACTGACTTCCAGGTTTCTCTTACCCTGTACCCATGAGCTCTTCAGTCTCCCGCCCCTCTCTGGAGATGTCATAGTATAGAGCAGCAATGCTCAAATTTTTAGTTTCAGTATCCCTTAATATTCTCAAAAAGTACTGAGGACCCCAAAGAGCTTTTGCTTTATGTGAATAAATCAATTGAGATTTACTATATTGGTATTTGCTGAGGAATTTAAAAACACTTATTTAAATAGTAAGGACAAACCTATTTGTGTTATAACAAATCATGTACATTTTAAATGAAAATACCTGTATTTTTTGCCAAAAATTTAGAAAAGTGTCACTGTTTTGCATTTTTGCAAATCTCTTTAATTTAGGGCTTAATAGAAGACACGTCATGTAACTTCTGGAAAATTCCAGGTACTCCTATAAAAGCATGGAAGTGAAAAAGGCAAATAACATCTTCTTGTTAAGAAAAGCGTTTTGTTTGTTTGTTTGTTTGTTTGTTTGGGTTTTGTTGGTGTTTGTTTTGTTTTGTTTTGGTACCAGGGATTGAACACAGAGATGTTTAACCACTGAGCCACATCCCCAGCACTTTTTATTTTTTATTTTGAGACAGGGCCTCACTAAGTTGCTGGGGCTGGCATCAAACTTGTGATCCTCCTGACAGCCTTCAAGGTCTGYTGGGATTACAGGCGTGTGTGCCACCACACCTGGCTACTAAAAGCATTTTGATCTCAAAGACTCCATGGAAGATTCTCAAGGACCAGTGGGCTCTGAGAGCCATCCTTTGAAAATTCATGGTGTACAAGACTGCTGTGAACTTTGAAGTTGGACTTCTGGTCCTGGAGACACACTTTTCTCATTTGTAAAAGGGAGTTAGCATCCTCTCTCTCTCAAGAGGGCTGAGGATTATGCCCAGTACACAGCACACAGTAGAGATATGGAGCTTGGCGGCTTTCCAAGCCTCAGTTTCCTCCTTTGTGAAGCAAAGCGCCAGACAGGAACATATCCAAGGCACTTCCCAGCTCCTACAGGCTGTGGTTGTTCAGTGAGAAATGTTCCAGAATTCTACTCCTCCCCACTCCAGCTCCAGTGGCTACATTTCCCTCTTGCAGCCCAGACTCAAAGGCAATCTATTCGGTGGCGTGGGGAAACACGAGTACATATACAAGCACCCTTGAGCTTCTACTCTCTCATGCCAACCTAGATGTACATGTGTCACTTATGACATGCTCCTGAACTGTATGTCCCCTCACAGCCAAGACACACACGCAGATACACCGAGGCACATGGATCCTTGCACCCCATGCAGAGACAGGTGTGTACACAGTCTCCCCAACGCACGGATGCGCATGTATACGCTCACACACATGCACTCACACACAGA